CTGTAAGTGTGACAAAACGTGATATTTCACCTGATTTTAATAAAAAAATTATTTATTTCACTCTAGCGAAAGTATGTTTTCAGCATGGTCAGACTAAACAAAGTATTTCATGATTAAATACATACCGGTAATACAAATATCAAAACGTGTTTCATTAAAACAAGAGTGAATTTCTGTGTGACATTGATATAAAGAGCTGTAGTACACTGTCATTAAATTGATGCATCTGTTGAGTTTACTGTTTACACAGAATATACTGTTTGAGTTTTAGACATATCAGATGAATTGATGCCTTCAAGATTGTTCTAAAGTAGCATGTAATGATACACACTGTGATTAATTTTTACTTAAACTTCTCTATTTCAGAAGAATGTTGTTTTCTAAATAAGCAATATTTTGAGAGAAGGTGAATAAGCATTGTTTATAAAATATGTTATTGAAGTAGGAATATTATTACAATATTATTGAATTATTCATTTCAGGCCAGTGAGTCACCACAATGAAGTACTTGTATCCGGATGACGGATGTCTGGAGGAGCTTTCCGCTGACAGTAACACAATGGTTACAATGTGCATCCTGTCAAAGGACGAGGAAGTGGAAAGCCATATTCATTCAATCAACAAATGTGCTTCCTGTCACATTTCACTTAAATAGGACGAGGAAGTGAAAAGCCTTATTCACTCAAAAACAACATGGCCAATAATTATCAGACACTTACAAAGCACATTGTACCATTTGTTTACAAGCAAGAAAATTATTTTCTCCTGGAATTTAATTAGGTGCTTTTGACTGACAAAGACACCCAGTCCATGTTAAGTTTTGAAAACTTATATTGTGAGAAATAAAGATATGAAAATTTTGGTTTGTTTTTCTTTGTTAAATATGAGAAATCCAGATTGTTCCATCAACATAATTTGTACCAATACATATATTTTATCTTGGCTTGATTACCAATTGAAGTTGATTCCTTTTTATCGTTTGTTATTTTATTTGTACTCATATCTGATCAAGACATTTTCAAACTATTCAGGATAAATGTATTAGTAGCTTCCTTTTGATATACAATTACCTATCATCATACAGGATTAGGTGAGGGTGTTCAAGAAATTGATAGTTGTATCAATTCTTATATTTCTTCAATTTCATGCATTATTTATATTTATCAATTTTTAGTTTCCTTTTAACTTATTTTAAACAGTTCACACATTATTACTTTTGTCGTGCACGGTGCAATCTCAATCGGCAATAATCAGTTAAGTAAGTGATGTTTGAAGAACATGTAAAGTATCATCTGTCACTGTACACACTGAATAGAGTTATGGCCCCTTCTGAATATTTATTTTGACACACGAATTATTTTCATAATTAACATTGTAATATGTTAAAATGAAAATCATAGCAGAAAAAGTGTCTTTTGTCAACTGGACTCATGGCAAAACGATAGCGCGTTGTGCAGCAAACACCACTATGAAACGTGAAATAAACATGATCTCGAGTTCGCCAAGCCACGCATTGACTGAGCAATTTTGCAAAAGTACACTGACGTGTTTCATGTTATGCGGTTTATTTACGATACAAAACTTCTGTCATTGAATGTACTGTCACATTGTACCTATATGCCGACGAGGTTATGATAAAAGGTTCTGAAATACGTATCTCGAAATGCACCTTTCGATTCACTTCCGGGATCCTGACAGCAAAATGCAAATTCCAGTGTATTACAGGCATATTTTAGTTGGACCTCACTATTAAATGTGAAATATCTTATGTATTAGATACAGAGGATACCATTTTTTGTTTGTTTGAAATGTCCACAAGTGAAATGCACAACATGCTGTCTGTTCCCTATCAGCTGATGCGACTCACACTGCATGGAGCTATGCTCTCCAAGCCTCGTTTTCGATCCAAGTGTGAAAAAGGTCAATACCCCGCTTCTGGATCTGCGTATCAAACATGGCCCAGTCGTCCAAGGCGCCGCGATTCGCTGTGCAGAGTTGCGTATCTTTGGGCACGCCAGAAACCTATGATTGTGGGTTCGAATCCCGGTTCGCCCCGATTATGTTTCTAGGTTTGTCAGCACCATACCCCTGCTCATGGGTTTCACCGAAGTGGTAAACGTCTTAGACCTGCATCACTTCGGGCTTTCCTCCCACATTAAGCTGACACGCTGCGATATAACTGGAATATTGTTAAAAGCAGCGTTAAACCCAACTCACCCACTCATGTATCAAACATGTTAGGAAGCGACACGTTGGGATTACACACAGGAAAACATAATATGTGACTGCACCAACTACTGTTGTTGATTTTACGCCGCTTTTTGCAATATTCCAGCAATATCAGGGCGGGGGGACACCTGAAATGGGCTTCACACATTGTACCCATGTTGAGAATCGAACCTGGGTCTTCGGCATGACGAGCGAACGCTTTAACCACTAGGCTACCCGACCGCCCAAACATGTCAGGAATGAGTGACTGAGTGTGTCTACGAGTTGATGAGTGAGTGACTGGGTGTGTAGATGAGTGAGTGACTGGGTGTCTATGAGTGGATGAGTGAGTGACTTGGTGTGTCTATGAGTGAATGAGTGAGTGACTGGGTGTGTCTATGAGTGAATGAGTGAGTGACTGGGTGTGTCTATGTGTAGATGAGTGAGTGCCTGGGTGTGTCTACGTGTGGATGACTGGGGGTGTCTATGAGTGGATGAGTGAGTGACTGGGTGTGTCTATGTGTAGATGAGTGAGTGACTGGGTGTGTTCATGTGTGAATGAGTGAGTGACTGGGTGTGTCTATGTGTGAATGAGTGAATGACTGGGTGTGTCTGTGTGAATGAGTGAGTGACTGGGTGTGTCTATGTGTGGATGAGTGAGTGAAGGGGTGTGTCTATGTGTGGATGAGTGAGTGACTGGGTGTGTCTATGTGTGGATGAGTGAGTGACTGGGTGTGTCTGTGTGGATGAGTGAGTGACGGGGTGTGTCTATGTGTGGATGAGTGAGTGACTGGGTGTGTCTATGTGTAGATGAGTGAGTGACTGGGTGTGTCTATGTGTGGATGACTGGAGGTGTCTATGAGTGGATGAGTGAGTGACGGGGTGTGTCTATGTGTGGATGAGTGAGTGACTGGGGGTGTCTATGTGTAGATGAGTGAGTGACTGGGTGTGTCTATGTGTGAATGAGTGAATGACTGGGTGTGTCTATGTGTGAACGAGTGAGTGACTGGGTGTGTCTATGTGTGAATGACTGGGTGTGTCTATGTGTGAACGAGTGAGTGACTGGGTGTGTCTATGTGTGGATGAGTGAGTGACTGGGTGTGTCTATGTGTAGATGAGTGAGTGACTGGGTGTGTCTATGTGTGAATGAGTGAGTGACTGGGTGTGTCTATGTGTGAATGAGTGAATGACTGGGTGTGTCTGTGTGAATGAGTGAGTGACTGGGTGTGTCTATGTGTGGATGACTGGGGATGTCTATGAGTGGATGAGTAAGTGACGGGGTGTGTCTATGTGTAGATGAGTGAATGACTGGGTGTGTCTATGTGTGAATGAGTGAGTGACTGGGGGTGTCTATGAGTGGATGAGTAAGTGACGGGGTGTGTCTATGAGTGGATGAGTAAGTGACGGGGTGTGTCTATGTGTGAATGAGTGAGTGACTGGGGGTGTCTGAGCGGATGAATGAGTGACTGGGGCTGTCTGAGCGGATGAATGAGTGACTGGGTGTGTCAATGAGTGGATGAGTGAGTGACTGGGTGTCTATGAGTGGATGAGTGAGTGACTGGGTGTGTCAATGAGTGGATGAGTGAGTGACTGGGTGTGTCTATGTGTGGATGAGTGAGTGACTGGGTGTGTCTGTGTGGATGAGTGAGTGACGGGGTGTGTCTATGTGTGGATGAGTGAGTGACTGGGTGTGTCTATGTGTAGATGAGTGAGTGACTGGGTGTGTCTATGTGTGGATGACTGGAGGTGTCTATGAGTGGATGAGTGAGTGACGGGGTGTGTCTATGTGTGGATGAGTGAGTGACTGGGGGTGTCTATGTGTAGATGAGTGAGTGACTGGGTGTGTCTATGTGTGAATGAGTGAATGACTGGGTGTGTCTATGTGTGAACGAGTGAGTGACTGGGTGTGTCTATGTGTGAATGACTGGGTGTGTCTATGTGTGAACGAGTGAGTGACTGGGTGTGTCTGTGTGGATGAGTGAGTGACTGGGTGTGTCTATGTGTAGATGAGTGAGTGACTGGGTGTGTCTATGTGTGAATGAGTGAATGACTGGGTGTGTCTGTGTGAATGAGTGAGTGACTGGGTGTGTCTATGTGTGGATGACTGGGGATGTCTATGAGTGGATGAGTAAGTGACGGGGTGTGTCTATGTGTAGATGAGTGAATGACTGGGTGTGTCTATGTGTGAATGAGTGAGTGACTGGGTGTGTCTATGTGTGGATGACTGGGGTGTCTATGAGTGGATGAGTAAGTGACGGGGTGTGTCTATGAGTGGATGAGTAAGTGACGGGGTGTGTCTATGTGTGAATGAGTGAGTGACTGGGGGTGTCTATGAGCGGATGAATGAGTGACTGGGGCTGTCTGAGCGGATGAATGAGTGACTGGGTGTGTCAATGAGTGGATGAGTGAGTGACTGGGTGTCTATGAGTGGATGAGTGAGTGACTGGGTGTGTCAATGAGTGGATGAGTGAGTGACGGGGTGTGTCTATGAGTGGATGAGTGATTGGATGAGTGAGTGACGGGGTGTGTCTATGAGTGGATGAATGAGTGACTGGGTGTGTCTATGAGTGGATGAGTGAGTGACTGTGTCTATGTGTGGATGACTGGGTGTGTCTATGAGTGGATGAGTAAGTGACTGTGTGTGTCTATGTGTGGATGAGTGAGTGACTGGGTGTGTCTATGAGTAGATGATTGGGTTTACCGAAATGCGAGCCATGGAGATGTAGAGGATGTTATTGACACTGAATCAAGGTTGTGCTAACACAAGGCTGACTATTGACACAACCAACAAATTGTGAATGTATCGGTTTATTTCTGATATATGTTATATCATGCTCAATAAATGAATACACTGGGCAATGGCTTGTGAAGATCACAATTATGGAATTCTGTTTGACAAAATATATTCAGGTTACATGCAACTTAAACATTAACTCACACAGACTTCACCTGATGGCAAGAAAAACGTGTTTGCATAAATAAATCAAACATCTTTGGTTTGTCATTCATTTTAACTATTCAGTGAATGAAAGCAGCCAAAATGGCTCTATATTCTGCATTTCACAGCTAAAACTGCCATCTTAGACAGAAGTGTTTCATGAATTGTTTTTGATTCCCTGAATGAACACAGAATGGGTTCATGTGGTCTCTTGTGAAGATTCTTCCCATGTTTAGATGTACTACTGGAAATCTGATAGAAGTGATCCGTCCTCTGGTTAAACAGAGAAGGCTCTATTTCCAAAACAAACAAAAATCAGATCTATTACTCCGATACAAAACATTTCTGCAAGAGTATCTGCCAAACCATAAAAAATGAAGTCGCACCAGGCTAACCCTGAGCAAATTTTGACCACCCAATCAGAATGTTTTTGAGCCAAAAAGATATCTGTGCCACCTTGATTCCGAAATTCTACTTAACAAAAGAAAGCCTACACAGAACACAGATATTCATGTGATAGAACATCTTGGGTGAAGATTCCATGGCGCTCAGAAACGACAGGGTGTATAAACATAGCACAACCTTTATCATATTACATTTGGAAATGTCTGTTTATGTTCATTTTCGAAACAGAAGTCAGATATGATGCTCTGAAATCAAAGCTGGCACATACCAATTTGGGAGCCTTGGTGCTGATTAGTTGTTTACCAAGTTCATCGATTGAGACTTGTCAAAGGGTTTTCTGATTTTGAATTATCAACAAAATATACCAATAAAATTAAGGATCACACAATTGTTTCATATTACTATAGTTAATCTGTGATGGCATCACAGAATAACTATTGTAATATAAAAGAATCGGGCGATCCTTAACTCTCTTTTTTGTAGTATATGATGTCATTTCAGATCTTTATAGCAGGGAATCACTTTCTTCAAGGACAGAGTTCCATTAAGACAGCTGTGTTCCACTGAACATCAGCTTTATGTGACATCATGATTATCGTCATCTAGAACTACCTGAAGCATATATATCTACCTTGAGCAAGAATGACTTAAACTGCACAAATAAACATGATCAATACCATAAACAAAAAACACGATCAGGAGACAGCATTCCTCAATAAATGCATATAAAGAGGCAAAATGATTTTAACATACACACAATGCTGGCATGAACTTCAGGTAAACCATATTAAGAAAAACTTGCAGCTGAGCCAGCTGGTAGAGTTCATTTTAGGTAGAGGTTGGAGAGCTGGTAGAGTCTGTTATAATAGAGGTTGACTAGTTGGTAGAGTTCATTTTAGGTAGAGGTTGGAGAGCTGGTAGAGTCTGTTATAATAGAGGTTGACTAGTTGGTAGAGTTCATTTTAGGTAGAGGTTGGAGAGCTGGTAGAGTCTGTTATAATAGAGGTTGACTAGTTGGTAGAGGTTGGAGAGCTGGTAGAGTCTGTTATAATAGAGGTTGACTAGTTGGTAGAGGTTGGAGAGCTGGTAGAGTCTGTTATAATAGAGGTTGACTAGTTGGTAGAGTTCATTTTAGGTAGAGTTCAATTTAGTGATAAGGCACATTACTTTTAGTCTTATCATACAGACCCAGTATATCCAATACAACCCTCTGTAATAATTGGCAAGTCTAGATTACTGCAGTTTCTGAAAATGAAAAGTCTTTGGACGTTTTGTTATATCTTAACTGTTTTGGGGTTGGATTTTTGGGTCAAACATTGGCTATGATTAATACAAATCCACAAAGCGTGAATGCCCACTTTGTTGAAGCGAGTGAATGTTACTCAACTCTTGGTAAGCAATTTTGCATCAAAATGCTAAGTTGATGTCATTGTGTAGGAACTACGCAGATTTTCTGAAGACAGTTTACCAATCAATTCATTAATACAAATATATAATACAGATACATACTACAGGTATATGACACAGATATAGCATCACATTACTATTGCGTCTTGACAATTGCAAATAATAGGTCCTATAAACAATACAAAATAACACATAGCACTGTTAGATTTAAAAGTGGACGTTTTAGAAAAAGAATACACAAAAAATAGCTTAGGTGGGACTAGAATATCTACACAAATTTATCACAGACTGAGGCACACCTTGCAGATTTTGTTTTAAAAAATATTTAAATTTGGATGTGCACTGAATGTAAGACAGGTGCTTGAGTGAGGTACAATATACATATAACAAAGTAACGGACCACAGCACTGTACAGTGTATCAACATCAATACTTTCATAGCATACAAAACACAAATAATCAACAGTGTGACTCTCCTGAGGTCGCCGTCATCTTTAAAAATATGTCTGTTATGACGTGTGTCAATTGTCTAAACATCTCATCGGGTAACTAGAAAAAACAATACACATTAACTATCTTATACAGGGATCTCGAAATCCAGACTGCAATGATGTATTTATTATTTTACATTTACATTATTTTATATATAAAGCTGGAACAAATTCAATTTCTGTTCTTCCGTACCCGATTTCATGGTCAATATACCAATAGGTAATAGGTAAAATAAAAAAGTACCTTAACCATACTTAACCAGTTTTAATTTGAGGGTAATTGATTAATTTATTTTAAACAAACAAAAATGTTCAAAAACATTTACAACCACAGCATTTGTAATTATTCCATTTCGGACATATTGAATAAGTTTGTATAAAAAAATTTGTCTCAATTTAAAAAAATTAAAAATAAATAAAATCTTTGTAACACTTTTCCCTTAAACTGGTTACTCTGTTACCGGAACAGTCATCTTGCTCACTACCCAGACAACAGACATGAGGCTGATGAAAGTGTCCAGAATCCAGACTGCTTTTTCATGCGCATGATCAATCAAATTAACAATAGCTAAGCTCCACCACAGGATGTCTATTGTTCTTAACACTACAACACTGCTGTAGGGAGTTCATCAACCTGAGTCTGTTGTTGGTATAGAGACAGAACACTGACAGAGAACCATTGATCTTTCCATCTTATCTCATAATGCTTCTCCTGTTGACAGAACTGTAAGGAAATAGAAAGAGAAGATGTGGGAGAATGTTTACAGATCTCATCACGTCCTTTACAGCTGGTACCACTCTAACTATTTCATCTAAATATTACATCTCTTTCACATAGCAAATCTACCTTAACATACAAAGTACTTTCCTTGTGATACAAAGATTGAGATAGATAAATTTTTATTTATTTTGTACGGACGAGTGAATAATAAAAATAAATTATGTTTCATTGGATCCCCTCTATATGTTTTGTAAACACATTCATATCAATAATGAAGGTAAAACTTATATTTCAAGGAAATTTTCAAGAAAGTAACCTCAAATAAACTTTAACATTGCTTTTTTATTTTGCATATTGACCATGAAATCTGCAAACACACAAATTGACATGGTTTGGCCTAATTGTACAGAAAAAAACACAAAGATTTGTTTCGTTAGACTTTCTCTTTCACACATATTTCTTCATAACAACTGGTAGTTAAACTTGGGTTTTCAGAGAACGAACAGTGTCATATAAAGTAGACACAATTTATGGATAACAACTTCTTTAATACAGTAAAGGCGACGTATACCGTTGTCAAGCCAGTCTTACTTGTCCACAGTAAAAGGATCTATATCAAAACAGCGCCTTTACAGTATTAAAGAAGTTGTTATCCATAAATTGTGTCAGCTTCCAAGTAATACTGATCAAACAAAGCGTCATATATGTTTCATTAGTACAATATCAGAGTGAAATCAACTTGATTCTCACAGCAAATGAAGAGCATTGCACAATAGTATTGAGTACTGAATGCTTTAAGCACATGGCAGTTGTAGGAATCTTGCCTGTAGTCAAACAATTGTTATATTATCAGATCTATATTTTCATATATTGCAAAGTAGTGATTCTGGTATGACTTCAATCAACATGTCCATTTCAAACAGGTTTATGTTTGAAGGACAATCCAAATTACCCGTCCCAGCCCTAATTATTACACCACTCAATGGATCAGTGTGCTCGTAAATGTCTTTATCAACACCCTGGGGAGTATACAGCAAAACTGGAAGCCCAGTAAGTTAAACAAGATACGGCTGGACTTGAAACTAACCATGGGATTATGTATATCTCCTTCTGACCTAGCTCTTACTGTGACAATACAGCAAATACTATTGTTGGTACTCAGGCACTTAACATGTCAGCAGAAATACACCAAATTTTGTTTCCACCTCTAGATACCAGTAATGAATAAAACAATGCTAATATTGTCACCCTATTATACCACTGAATCGAGTTGTCCTTACCCTCTTTAGCCTAAGGGAGAAAACTGGTGTTTGAATGTAACAATTCAATAATGATAATTATCCCACAGGCAATCTTGTCCATATTGCCAGAAGCAAAGAGACAGTATATATATACTGGTAAATGTCAAAACTAAGACAATGGGAATATAGCCTAGTACCGAACCTATTAATCCTAAGGATTATCCATTAGGGATAATCCCTGTCATAAATGTCACTTGCACTCTATCATGTCCTATAGAAAACAGCACCATAAAACAAGTTTTGTTATCTTTCTAGTTAATAACAAATTACTTTCACACCCTGAGGTAATAAATATAATTCATAAAAAAAGAAAAGACTAGAAAAACAATTATCTTAGGCTTGACAATGAAACATTTAAATGAAATGGAAATCCAATAGATCTTATTCAAGGACATATCTTTATCTTATGTGCTATTCACTTAGTCCAACAATACTTAATCTCTTATTGCAATTTTTTTCCAATATTTTGTCTACTTAAATCATGTCAAAAATTTAGAATTAATGTCTCTATATTTAGTAATAGCTTCATTTCATGTTAATTTTTAATTTGGGATATGAATAATATGAAATATGGAGATATATTTTTCCATTCATTTCATGACGGTACCAGTACATATTCTAACTTGGAGGCTGTGCTCAACTGGTAGAACAAACATGCATATATTTTGAAATAATTCTGATCGACTAACCCCTAAAGGGCCTTTTTCCCAATCACATGACCAAGCTGCAGATAAGCCAAACTTCAGGTGAAAATCTGAGTGAAAACTGTCTGATCAAGATGCATGACCTTAACAACCAACTCATAGAGAAGTGAGTTCTATTCAATCCCAGGTAAATAGGCAAAACATTCAGTTAAATCAACATTGCAGCATCAAAATAGGCACAGAAGATGCCTCATTTACAGACACGTCCAAAGACCTACACCTTAAGAGGGCCTCTTTTTTCTGTCATTGAAGTCAAACTAAAGGTTCTCTCGGCTTGTTGATTTACAATACATAATCATATCAACTACAGCAGTCTCTAAACCAGTTGAGCACGTCTCAGTGATACTCTGATGCACCGTCAGTAGTAAGTCACGCCTTACCATCTGAAGAACAATTAGTGTTTCACTTCACACGTAACGACAAATACGGAAACATTTTTAGTCTGTAATGAACATATACATGCGATGTAAATAAAAACAAGCATAACGATGTCCCCTTTTACACAATATTTCTCATTATTAATAATTTATTCTTTATTCAAACTGAGAAAAATTTAGCACTTCATTACAATGTTTTCTAACCAGCACTAGGCTTGAATACAAACTGATATAGTTTACAAAGTTGTAACAATATAATACAAAAACAAACATATTTGTACAATCTACCAAGTGAATACTGCACTTCATTAAGCTTAGGAAGGTATGGTAGCTCATCAGTGCAATATAAACAGGGTAGACAACTAAAATCATTACCATGGTAACCAATACTAAGAATATTCAGATATCAATACTTTGGTTAACTTAAACCATATTATCAAATATTAGTGATTCAATGAGAATCTTCATTTTATAATATTTTCATGTAATATTTTCAGATAAAAGCAAGATGTCGGGTGAGCAGTTAGTGTATTTTCAGACCTGTCCTTCTTACTGACCTCAGTGATGTTTAAATATCTGAGTAGATTAATAAATGCAATTCAGAAACTAGTGAAAATCCTATTGTACACAAGTTGTACAGACATCCGTCAGGGTTTTACCTTGACCTTAAAAAGACATCCCAAAACTACTTAGGAATTATGAAAGTGTGAAATGGTGTAGTATACAATACTATGAGATTAGATCATTATTCTAATTACTAGACTATTAACTTTGTGTCAAGAATTTGGTACAATGAGTATTTTTGTGTGTCCCTCGGGATGCAACACTCTTCTTTTTGGTGTCCATTCTCTACATTTCAGTCCTTGATGCACATTTCAGCATCATGTCACCCCTGCATCTCATCCTCATGTATTCTGTGTCCCAGGACATAAACAAAATCATCAACATTTGTAGAAAGTCGCAAGATTTGTTATATCATGAATTTTAAAGGCAAGTTTGATTATTTGCTTAAAAAAAAAAAAAGAGAGTAAAAATCAGAAAACAATAGTACAAAAAATAATATGCATATTTGATCATTTATCAAAATGAGTATTCTTTGGGGATGAGCAAACATTGCTTAATTTTCTACTATAATACAGGTTACAGGTCCCACTTATGAAACTGCAAACAATAACATTGCACAAGTAGGCCAAGAACATGTATAATTAATGTAGATCTGTGTCGCATTTGACTAGGTAACACTATAATATTCGGACAATATATTTAAATAGGAACAGTATTCTAATAGTAATAACAATAAAAAGAAGCCGTGTGAGACTCAGGTGTCAATGATTTGCTTACGTTCATGTTGAAATGTTTTTTTATCACTGTACTCACAAAGACCACATATAAACTGCTGTATCACAACAATAACATTGTTTTAACACACATACCAGTACTTCTGCTCAGAGTGAGTGAGTGAGTTTGGTTTTACGCCGCTTTTAGCAATATTCCAGCAATATCACGGCGGGGGACACCAGAAATGGGCTTCACACACTGTACCGATGTCGGGATTCGAACACGGGTCTTCGGCGTGAAGAGCGAACGCTTTAACCACTAGGCTACCCGACCGCCCCGCTTCTGCTCAGAAATAATGTGTATAATTGGTGACTATTCCCTCACTCGGTGGGATATTTACACAACAAACAATACTGTTGGTTTACAAAAATCAAATAAACAGTAATACAATGCACTTCATCCATAACTTGTTTACAATTAATGGACATTGGTAAATCTAAACACAACTTGGAAGCTGTTTGAAACTTTCAAAAGACATACATTCTCTGGCAACATTGTACATGAGTTTATACACAAAGGAAAAGAAATTTAAACACAATTTGCATCTTAAAGTGCAAATCATATGCAAACGTTACAGATGTGTTTCAAATATTACAGAAAAGCTTTTGCTGTAGTGGCAAGTCTTAAAGACTTGGTGTTAAAAAATAAACATTTGAACACAACATCTTCCCGCAAGCAGCATCGACTAACAGTCACATTATCACCAGGGGATAGCCTTCACAGGGCATATACATGTGGCACATTACAAGGATATGGAGGCTGATATACACCAACAGACTCACAGTAAGACAAGGCCATTAATTCTAGTTGTTTCACAATTACTTCGGCAAAATAATAATAATGATATAAAGTATTACGTTTTGACTGACAAAATGTCATTTACAAATCCTACTTGTTTGTTCTCTAAGAGCAAGAGCAAGAAACTTTAAAACATTTCAACATTATTAACTTTTCATCATATTCTTTTTTATTCATGTTAATTAACCTGAAAAGAACTTCTTCTCCAGCTATGATAGCCTCGAAAATCAGCAACATATTGCAATAACATTGGTTAGGATTGATTGTGCTAAAATGGTGAAAATTTAGCAAGGAAAAGTTTAACAGCTTAATTTCCTTGTTTTAGTTTTTTTTTTTTTTTAATATAATAAAGAGAGCAAATTTCAAACAAATGGAGACATCTGATTGGGGGAATACCACTGCTGGGTAATTCACAGTCTATTTTTAGTAACTTAAGTCAATACCGTAAATTATCAGACCTGACTTGGGTCAATATGTGTTTCTGTCGAATGGCATGACTGCTTCTCGGCCAATGAATATAGTGGAAATCTTTGCATCATATAATAATCACAGATACAGACCAACTATTTCCCTGCACCATAACCATCTAATCTGCCACATGAAATAATGAAATTTGTAGCACAAAGCTTCCTGTTCTAATACAAGCTGTGCGTGCCTGGCACCTGTCAAATCACACCATCTGCTCACAATGGCATGTTCCACCTACAGTAAAGGTAGAGTCCACTATGCTGGAGAGGGTGTTCAGATCTTGCAGCAGCTGAAGGTTGATATTGGTGTAGAACCTCCGGAGGGGAAGGGTTTATGGACCTCTGGCTTCAGGTCGTGTTCACGGGCTTGTTTCGTCAAGTCTCGGGCAATGTCCATGAACAACTTCTCCACGTTATCAGCCTCTTTGGCAGATGTTTCCATGAATTTCATCTCGTATCTCTCAGAAAACTGTTGGCCAACGTGTGTAGGCAGCTCTCGTTTGTTTATCTGGTCCGTCTTGTTGCCTGCAAAATAATGGTCTAAACTATAATTTTTGTAAGATAGTTTCATCACGAATCATACGAAACATGGTCACAATAAATAAATATCTTTGCCATATTACTTGTAAAGGCACAAGACAAGATTGATTTTTAGAAATTCTGATTGATGTTGAGGTGTGCAGATGTTTTGGGTCATCTTCACGAGGCAAAGAAGCTAAATGACTATAAAAGTCCATGTCTCCACCCTTGCTGAACCTGGCTGGAATTTCTGGGCTTCATCATAGCGCCACCAATGGCTATTATGAGTTACATCCCTTCTATGTCCTTCCTATTGACCTATCAGATTCAACCTCTCATATCACTTGCATGTGCTTCAAACAAAATGGCGATGCCCAGTCAAGAGTGAGTGAGTGAGTATGGTTTTACGCCGCTTTTAGCAATATTCCAGCAATATCACGGCCGGGGACACCAGAAATGGGCTTCATACATTGTACACATGTCAGGAATCGAACCCGGGTCTTCGGCGTGACAAGCGAACACTTTAACCACTAGGCTACCTGACTGCCCCTGCCCAGTCAAGAAGATCTGATCAATAATCAAAATCTATATTGTGTTAAAACGGATCTTACTTCGCAAAGTACATAAAATCATGTTAGCACCTTGATTAAATACATGAAAATACTTGGAAATTATCTGTTGATGCGGAGTTGGCGGTACACATGCTTTGCAAATCCTGTAATTGACTGAAATCTGCACGGAAACTGGACTTTTACAGTCAGTTAACTCCCTTGCCTCAGGAAGATGGTTTTGATTTCAAGCCTTGAGCTACACCAGGAGCAAGCGACTGTGTGGGTGATGAAGTACATCTGAATTCTGCACACAACACCGCAGTGTCAGTACCATCAGAACAACATCTTGGTTGAACATATCTTGCCAAGAAAAAAAAACACTATTTTTTTTCCAGTAATTATTTCAGTATCCAGTGTTATTACACAAAGTCCAAACCCAAGGAGATCATGAAGCAAGTTTGAGAACAGAGGTGCCAACACTCACAGGCTTCACTCGGGTGTCCACAAACAGCAAGGATGCCTAATTCATCATGAACTTTGTAATGAGGGGTTGCTTGTTTTCTATTACTTACTGCTACTATCGTATATTGCTGCCTACAAAACGACTCCTCGTATTACACGGCCCTTCAGTCTAGAAGCCTTCACTATTGCTGCTAAATAATATATCCCCTCTATACCTCGAGCCTAATCAAAGCGTAGATGGCACCTGGGAAATAAGCTGAATATAACACACCATTACCATTGGCCATGACAATTTCAATAAAAACTTTCATGCACGTATCTGTAGCTTCTCCACAATGGTGAAAATTATAGGTCAGGTTCGCTGACTTGGTTGATGAATGTCATCGATCCCAATTGCGTGGATCGATGCTCATGATATTAATCACTGGATTGTCTGGTCCAGACTCGATTATTTACAGACCGCCGTCATATAGCTAGAATATTGCTGAGTGCAGCGTAAAACCAACCAACCAACCAACCAACTTCTGACTGGAAGCATCTCAGACGTTTTGATCATAAATACTGTGGACATGGTTAGGACAAAACACACTAAAAATTGCTAATGTCTGCCTTATTTGGGGATAAAGAAGCACTTGAACTATTCAATAGGAACACCACTAGCACTTGTGTATCAGGTGGTTGTTATTTCAATCTGTTTCGTATCCAGGGATGAGAATGTTATTTTAAAAAAACACTTGTGTCGGTTTATAAAAAAAAAATCACTGAAAGTTAGCTATGAGTCTGGGATTAATGTGTATATTGCAATGCATGCGCCACAAAAGTGACCCTTGGCGTAACAAAATCTGCAGAATTCCAGGACAAGTGGTATCTTCTCAACCCTGTGCATCACTCACTCCTAACGCTGCCAAGCTTTAGGAAGAAATATGTGCACTCACCGACTAGATAGGCAAGGACCTTAGTACTTGCATACATCTCAATCTCTCGAAGCCATTGGGGCAAACTTTCAAATGATGTCTGGCAGCAGACATCGTACACCAAAATAAGAGCATTGGCGGAATGATAGTAACTCTGAGTGATGGAGCGGAATCTCTCCTGTCCTGCAGTATCCCAGATCTGCAACTGAAAACATGACCCAACATAAACATACTTATGGATACAGGCCTCAAAGTTTAAATTTTTATAAAGTAGCCATATGGCTACAAGCATTTTTTTCCAGGTAGCCAGTGGTAAAATCAAGAGGTCAAGCTAATATTGTAGATAGCCAAAAGCATTTGAAATTATCCTTTATCAAATCACAATTATAATACAATGTATGTACAAGTCATAGCACTAGTCTTGAAATTGTATATTAGTGGAAACTATACTTGATTTTTGTTTTTTGTGACTCTAACAATGACGCAATTTATGTTACTTGATTATGTATGTATATTCTTGCTTATCCAATGAGCATTGTCAACTGAAATAAAATACTAATTACATTAATATTTATGTATTTCTGTTCATTGTTGACTTTAGGAGGTATTATACGCAAGAACTAGGAAGGACCTGTTCTGTACTAGAATCCCGACTGAGATCTCAGTCTAATACATATCCCTAAGAGAAGCAGGGATTCGTCTAGACCTGCTCAGAGGCTGATATTTAGCCCCATCCACAACAAATGTCAGTAACAATTCCCAAACTGGAAGTATTAATCTTCTAATTCATATTATATAGTAATAAGCTATGTTTGTAGTAGTGACTTGTATTTCACTGATCAATTTGAGCAAAATAAGGATTTGTTTCCCAAATTGCCTGCCACAGTCAATTAGTTTGGAATCCTGAATAAATCCCGGGAAGTGTGAAGTGATGGAATCAAGTTCAAAATTTCCAAAACTGTCACTTTTAGTATTACCGTATTCGACAAAATAAACGCCCCGCTCTAATAAGCGCCCACGGCGATATTTGCTAATAAATTGGCAAGTGAACAATCCCAATTAGCACCCCTTCCGATTGATCAATGTACACAAGACTTATTTATTCGTGTATAATATGCACCCGTGTGTTATATACACCCTGAATTATGGGCAATTAAATTCAGGAAAAATATATCTGTCGTATATAAAGTTCGGGCCGTCAGCATAAACCACAAAATTTATCTTTCAACTCTGTTTTTTCCACCAAAATAATATCCTAATAAGAGCCCCCCATTTCTATTTTTGTGAGCGCCCTGGGCGCTTACTAGGTTGAATATGGTACTTCACTATTGACCATTGCTGACTGCACTTACCTTGACTTTCTCTCCTTCCACTTCCACTGTTTTTATCATGAAGTCCACACCAATCGTAGCACCCTGCCCAGGGGGGAATAAGCCCTGAAATACACACAGCATTGTGACTCCAAGTGACTGGACGTTCAAAGTAACATTCACATTGAGTTATCAGGGTCTCAAGACAAGACGATTGCTGATATCTGTCACTTGATCTGAACAAACAGATTTAACAAGCAGCAAGTACATATAACATGGTGACTCACAAGAATAGCGCAATAGTGGAAGGCCTAAAACCATAGGTCACTGTCTAAAGTACAAAGGTGCGCTTATACCAGTATACTGGGGGTATCCATGATCTGAAATCCTAATGAATATGTATCACAGTATGTTTGGAAAAGACTCATATTTTTAAAAAATCATGTTTCTTTCAAAATCATGTATATTTCATCTTCTTGGCAAAGTTTACATAAGTCAAACTAAAATGATAAAAATCAGAAATTACCAACTGATTCCGGCGCTCGAAACAGTGAGACCATTCTGCCTATATTTGGGCAATACATGTACTACCAGTAAAGGGGCCACCTAGTCGGTATTGAGTTATGAGTGGATTCATAATCTACAATGTCATCCCTCCAAAATAACAAAATTAACTGAATAGCTCTAAAACTGGTGATGTCGTGACTTGTCAATTACCCAAACTGTTTTTTCACTCTTATAGCATAAAAATAATAATTGAATTAATGAAATCTCCTTAATGGTGATGACTCATGTGGTCCCTATACTGGATCCCTTCCCCATATAATGTGTCTTTTATGCATACGTTGTGACCATAGCAGCATCCAACAAAAACGCGGTCGACTTCGAAGTTGTAAAAAATGTTTGGGGGAAGTCTGTATGGGTCCTTTTCAAGTCATTTAGGCTAGTTTTTATCAGGTTCATAACCAATATTATAAATGAAAGAAAGCATACAATGTATTGTGGTATGTATCACAATACATGAATCATTATTACATTAAACTGCAATAACCAAGTCAGACCAATACCCATCATGTCTAATGTACCACTGATAGCTACTGCTGTAACTGAGAATTGAAATACTGATGTGACAATTTGTTTACTAATACTGATAGATCCACAAAATGATATTGATATGTTGATACAATAATAATTATACGAAGACCACCATGATTGTATCTTATTGAAATATTTGCAAAACTTCACCAAATTTCAAAGTAATTATTCAACAAGGGTACTCAGTGAAACTATTTGTGAAAACTACACTAGAAAATATAAGTATTGAACATATAGAACTATTGTTCACAAACCTAAAATCATATTACCCAAGTTATGTTTACATGGCATTACCTTGGAACTTGTAAACAAACAAGTCGCAACAACAAATGCAATAGACGATATATTCAGTCTATTCATGACAAAAAACAGTCATCCTTTGTCTTGTCTTGTCTTGTCTGATCAATCATGACCACCGAAAACACTGTATTTACTAGAGCGGTCAGGTAGCCTAGTGGTTAAAGCGTTCGCTCGTCACGCTAAAGACCCGGGTTCGATTCCTGACATTGGTACAATGTGTGAAGCCCATTTCTGGTGTCCCCCGCTGTGATGTTGCAGGAATATTGCTAAAAGCAGCGTAAAACCTCACTCACTCACTCACTGTATTTACTAATGAGACATTTTCAAGTTCATAACAACTGTTGCACACAAAAGAGAATACAGTCGAACCTCCTTGTGTCGAAGTTGTGGGGACCTAGATAAAGGTTCAGGTTATCCGGGGTTCAAGACAAAAAACAATGTGGATTTTTGAAAAACCAAACAACATGTTATGAGAGGTCATCGCCAGGTCCATGCACAACACTAGATTTCAAGGGGTAGGTTAATGTCAGTGTCCAGATGCTGGTAGTGAAGGTGGCGTCAACTCAGGCGTATCATCAATCTCACTGTCCCCATCTGTATAAGCGTCATTGTTGAACTCATATCTCAAATTATAGATTCACGAACATAACCTTAATCTGTTTTACTCATTCCTCAATTTTTAACGTGCTATCAGCAGTCATGTGAGAACAGATTAAGTGACCTGCTGCCGATGTGTATACAGTAATCAGATTGGACGTTTGATGTAAGGTGTGATTGTTAATTTGGCTTGATTGGGTATTGGCAAGTTGTAAGAGTGAGTGAGTGAGTTGGGTTTGACGCCGCTTTTAACAGTATTCCAGTTATATCACGGCGTGTCAGCTTAATGTGGGAGGAAAGCCCCAAGTGATGCAGGTCTCAGACATTTACCACTTCAGTGAAACCCATGAGCACGCGTATGGTGCTGACAAACCTAGAAACATAATAATAGGTTTCTGGCGTGCCCAAGGGACGCAACTCTGCACAGCGAATCGCGATGCCTTAGACGACTGGGCCACCCGTGCCCCCTCATGTTGTAAGAAAGTATCCTGCCTTTGATGTAATGGTGGCAAGTGCAATGAGATCAAACAATTGTGTGTGAAGTGAGTTCAAAGTTTAAAGTTAGGCATGTGTGGATGTGTGGATGTGTGGACGTTAGATTTTATTATGAACTGTTTGAGTCACCAGGGGGATTATATGCTTATTTGGATACTTTGACACATCCAGTTTGACAGATCAGAGTATAAATGACGATAAACTTATAAGGAATTTGCTGGGACTGGAAGGCAAGTTCTAGACAACCAGGAATTCAACACATCAAGTTTGACACAAAAAGATTCAACTGTACCCCTAAATCTCATCACAGTGTCATAGCGACTGATTTACGACACCCATTGTCTGAAGAACATTTAATTGCAAGGCTCATTACCCTGGAGCCATGACATCTATATGCCTTGAAACACTTAATTGCTGTTACTTATAAGATGCTAATCCTAATTGATAATCCCCATTTGTGTGTACATCGACCGTCTGCCATCCTGAACAAAATGTGCAAGTATGTCACTGATGAATTACTGTTTATATTTATATTTATTACTTACTAAATGTCAGGTGACCTTGGCTATATAAGCCTTGGTCCAGAGAGTTTGAAAGAGGAGAAAAGAAAGGTCTTACCCTTAGCCTAGCTAGGGTTAGGCTGGGTGCTCCGGGGCACTTAGACAACAACCACTACCACTATGTGCTGACCTGGCACATAGTGTCCGTTGCATGTATATATCTACATGTATAAAGTAAAACTGTATATACCGCAAGCGATCGTCTCCAAGTTGTCACTTCCTACTGAGAACCATACGTCGGCCTCTTGCATATACGAGTATGCAAATTATCCATTAATTAGCGTCAGACCACACGCGTTGTTAATTGCCTAACTCCATGTCCTCATGCATGTTACTATATCCATATCCATAATAAACATATCAATCAAACCTGCCTGATGTGATTGATACTTCGACTTAATGTTGTAACAAGTCTCATGAAAATCACATCTCTGATATGACACCTCTCTGCATGAAGCTCTAAGGACACCTCCATAGAAGGTCACAGCAGATGAACCTTGCGTGAACTTTGCCCGCCCCAATCCAACTAAAGGATGTGTGGGTTCTTGAACAAATCAGATGTCAGCTTCTTAAAATGATTTGCCTTCATTTCCTTACCACTTCAATATGGAAATTTCAGCCTCACCATAAGAAAACCACTACTGAAAACAAATATTTCCTTGATAGTACACATCCTTAATGCCATGATGCTAAGAAATGGCAGGATGTATAAAATATCCATGACAATATCCAGTTCGACCTACAGTCCAACTATTGACTCGCCTTATGGTAACCACAAATTATTAGATTTATAACCTGCATCTTATATTTCAAGTATGCCTTCAAGAGCAGAAATGTACTTAAATGTTGGAATCTATTGAGAAATGATACTACACTGTATAGTATGCATTTCATGTATTTAGGTCTATGGCCTTTCATACAATATATATTTGAATTGAATAAAGAAAGAGAAATTTACCTGAGTAAATCTCCGCACCAAGCATGTTTTGCCAACGCCAGCATTACCAATGAGAACAACCTTAAACAGATATTTGTAGTCTTCCATGTGTGACAGATGTCTTATAGCGGTTTTCTGAAATAAATGAGAAAAAAAGAATTATTCAGTTAGACACTGCTGCTTTGTGATATTATTCATGATCCTGAAAAGGTCATATCTTTTTTCAAACAAAATCCATGATAGGAATAGGATGTCTAAGAGTCTAATTGGAAATTATAAGGCAATTCACATGACATGTGACTCTTGTTTGCTAACTAGGTTTTTATTATGTAGTTCAACCATTCAATAAGTGAGTGAGTTTTGGTTTTATGGCGCTTTTAGCAATATTACAGCAATATCATGATGGGGGACACCAGAAATAGGCTTCACACATTGTACCCATGCCGGGATCAAACCCGGGTCCTCGGCGAATGCATTAACCACTAGGCTACCCGACCACCCCTCACTCAATAAGTATATAGGATACCCTAAGTACATACATATAATGTCTCCTTTACATGCAGGACACTAATGCATTGCAATAAGATCATGTTATAAGTCTGGAGCATCAGACCATCTGCCATTTCTTCATAATAGAAAAGTCATCCCTATCAAATGCTAAGACTTTCAACTAGGGCTCGATTACTGGATTGCAAAATATTGTGATAATTAGATCTGTATTGTGATATGTATAATATTGCAATATATTGCCATTAACGATGTTTTCTATCACTTTCAAACTTCCCTTCATTGTTTTAAGAGCAAAATAGTGTCATATGTTGACTTTTCCTTTTTGTTGGTAACAAATTTGTAGTCAAGAGGCTCAAAGCCATTCGCAACTATAGAACGAGGCTCATCACAGTGACAGGAAGTAACCCAGTGAAGAATAGCAGTTTGTACTTGACATATTTGAGTGAGGCAAACTGTACCAGGAAGATTTTAATTATTTCATTATTGATAAAACCCAAAGAAATACACCTAATTACGCAATACCCTCAACATATAAACCAATTCAGATCAATCATATCATATATGTATTAAACATTTGTATAAATTGCAGTCGTACTTTTCACTGTATCTGAAAACGATCAATCCTCATTAAAGCACCACTTATTTGTCTAATAATCCATGACCTAGGAGCAAGTGCCTTCTGATCATAGCTGGCTGTCCTTACTGAAAGCATACATTGCGACTTTAACCTAATTTGACATTGTCTACTGTGTAGACCTTTACCTCAGTATGGTTGACTGGATTGAGGTTGTTGTTACACCGACACCTACTTCAGATCAGATTATAATATTCGATCATTCACTGTCTTAATGAAATAGCTTTTCAACCAATTACATAAATATTTAAGAAAATAGGGATTTTGTTATATAAATATAGATATCATTTATGCCCTAGTTTTAATCAAAGTCTTCACCCAAATTCCTAATTATCACAATCTGAACAAGCAATACTTACGCTCTATTTCAGTAATTCATACAACACATAAAATGAGTGTGGCAATATCCATATCAACAGGATAACTAAACTCACATTCACACAATCTATATCCTTCTCAATCACAACACTGCGACAGAAAGCACTATTTTCCACCAAGCAAATTAGATGTGTTTTGCAGTAAATCTTAATCGATTTCAGCTATATTTACCCTTCAATCTCTGCAAGCTCACAGTCTACCCCGGAATTTTGTTTGTGTCAAACTATATAGACCAACACTTATGAGCAATAACCTTACAACAGAATTATACTCATTGCTGACACGATAACATAAGACGTGGAGTTTGTCGACATCACAGTTGAAGGAAGTAAATAGGATGTGGATGACGTCATGAGGTCGTTTTTGTAACGTCTGCCATGATTGGATACTTCTGTAACATCCCGAAGCGATTTCTAAGCACTGTTGTGATTCGTAGTTGATTTGTGTTCTCACCCAACCAACGATGTTGTTAGAAACGAATGCGTTGAACATTTCAGGCCGTTCAGGGAAGCACTTGTCGGACATCGGATGGGAACGCTGTCCGACAGTATGTTAGCTGTTAAGTTGTAGAATGCTAAGTTGTAAGTCATATGTACATTTTGTAATTTGTTTGTAACCTAAGTATTCCCGGAAACACCTTTAACCATGGCCGAAGATATAGTAGAAAGTTACAGTTCGTCTCTTCAAGATCTGACCTTCAACAGCAAACCGCTGATCAACATGCTGACGATGCTGGCGGAAGATCACGAGCAGTATGCACCACAGATCGTTCAAGTTATCGAACAACACATTGAACAGGTTCAAACGAATTTCTTATTTTTGATGATAACATTTACGTATTTATTTCGTAAGGAAAATGACACGCTATATATATGAAAATGTAGTCGTTGTTTTACAAAATGGCGTCTGTTTTTCCGAAAAACTAGGCCACATGACGAATATCATCACGTGGTTAGGCATGTTTCGTATAGATAGACCTACCTATATTAATACGTAGCAGGGTAAAACCATTTGGATTTTTCGAAATTTATAAATTTAATTTTCAAACTAAAACAATGATCGCGGTAACGTTTTCATGTATGCAAGTGACTAGCTGAACCAGCCCAACTCATAACTTTATCAGAAGTTGTAAGTTGGTAGCAATATGTTATGCTTCCATATGGTTCTGGATTAGTAAAATACTCATGCAATATTCGTAATTTCATGTTTTGGAAAAGGTGATGGTATTGCCTTTCATTCCCTTTAATATGAATTTAATTATTAAATATAGATCTGGTATCAATAATTTTACAAAATTGATGCAACATTCCTTTCGTTTATTGTGTACATAAAGCCTTATTTGATTTCAGAGATTTTATTTTCAATATCATAAATAAATAAAGACAGTGATTTACACATTGTTGTTTATTATCTGTTGTCTTAATGATGGAGTTTCATGCAGAATTGATCTGCTTTACAAATAAGTACAATATGGCATTATCAATGATTACTCAGCTAATGTATACAGTCAGAGATGTTGCAAGAGACATTTGTTTTCCTTTTGTGAACTTGAAATAGGGAACATCAAAATCTCCATTTTCAAAATCTGTTACATTTAACATTGAAAAAATTGTCCTTTTTTAAAATTTTCTATAGAGTATCTTTACATTGCCAGTTACATGATCATTTCACAGAAAAAATTCTTTCTTTGCAAGTTATTGTGCAGTATGAGCTTTCTTGGTATTTTTATTGAAATTACCATTGTCATCATAGAAATTAGTGATCTTGAATCTTTTCCATTCAGCCTAAGCCACTAGACCAAAATGAGTTCAGTAATTTAGCTTTCTGTCTAGTAAGTTCAGCTAATTTTCAATTTATGAGCACTATAAATCTGTTGAAGATGGTACCAATAGACATGTTTGGGCTTGTGATCTCAAAAGCTTTTGGTTGATGATTACAATTTCACAACAGTATTAAGAAAGGAGGGAAGGGAAGAGTGCTTCTCGAAACTCAAGGAATTAAGTTTTTTATCCATCAAACTTTTGAACTGGTCCCTAACAAGTAGGTAATTCAACAATATCTCATTCTAAAGCAGCAAAACATTCTCCTCGCTCCGGCTTGTTCTTAGAATAATTTATCTCTCTCTTTTTTAACTTTCAACCTTGACCTGAATGAAGCAACTGAATGGTGATTACTTGTACAACCTGACAGGCCTTATAAGTAAGCCTCAATTGATAATGTCATAATTGTACTACATGATAATGTCAGTAATGCAGAACCATTCTCATGAACTGTATGTTGCAACATTTTAGTGTTGCAAGTATTGCCTATAGCTTTTATGACTTGACAATACTGGGTATTACTGTGAATCCTGGTATCACCTACATGACCCTGCTGGGGGCATACCCAGCTAATATTTGAGAATGTATATCTCTGATATTTGACATGTGTTCTTGGTAAAACAGGGTTCCCACCGGTCTGGAATGTTTGCTGGTCAGGGGACTTTAGATTTGGATAGAATATTCTTAAAATAATTTACAACCTGTGGCTGTTGTTTTTACTTTGTCAATACATTGGTCTAATTTGACTAAAGCAGTCTTCTGAAAAAGGCCCATATGTTTCCCCCCACCAAATTTATTTTGGGGTAATATTTAAAAAGGGGACGCAATTTCAATGTGTATTTTTTGGCAAGGGCAGCATCTGGTAGTCTTACCCTGTCTTTTGATTGCTTACATTTTGACACCTGTTACAGAAACATATTAGTTCAGGTATTTATTTTTGTGTGTAATTTAATTGATATATTATGAAAAGACAATGTTCCAAATGTTAAAAATACAAAATGTTTCGGATCTGTGGGAACCCTGTAAAACACAGTGCAAAGAGATATGGCACAGTGTCTCTCTAGCCCTTGACTTCGAGTTTTTGCCAGAGGGAATAATTTACCTGGTTAAAAGTCAACTTAAGAGTAATTGTGCCCCTAATATATTCAAGGTAAAGTTTAAATTTGAAAGTATACGAAACACCTGTCCTGACATGCACAATTTGACCCTTTTTGACAATTAGGCTGAAGACATCGGAAATTTGGGGCAGGCTGGTCCTACCCGATTTCATTTTCAAATATCAAAAATTAGATTCTGTCATGATGGCTCAGCAGGTATGTTGTCTGATGCTTTTTTGACTCGAGAACCAAGTCTTATTAGTTCTAACAAAGAAATTAATTTTAACTTCTAAAAGAAACATCAGCGCGGCGTTTCAAAGATGGACCTATCATCTTAGTGTCTTGGTTATGAGTGAAATCGTGTCAACATTTGTCAGTTCTTCACATTTGTGTTTTGATAATGGCTTTTAGTCTGCATATGATTTTCTTTCATCTGAAGATTTCTGTCACATAGCAAAAGTAGCATCAATCCTCCGACATCAATTCCTGTGATCAGCTTTGATAGATGCCATATTCACATCATATTCCCACATTGCACAAGCTTCCAAGATTGCCTGAAATTGGTGACCATTGAGCAGATTCATTTCAACATCCAAAACGTTACTTTGTATGCTTCGAACTGCGACATTTAAAGATTCTACCTTTTAGCAAAATGACAGATGCCTTCCTTCTTTACTTAGCATGATGTACTGCTATCTCTGATGCATCTCTATGGATTTCTTTACCAGAATCAACTTCCACAGTTACATCCAGTTCCTTTCAAGATTATGCACACCTCAGATCTGTAGCATTTATCCTGAAAGAGATATAGACAAGAAGAACATAAAATGCTGCAATAGTTGTCAAATAGTATATCAATCACTTATGTAGGTCAGATGGAAAAAAATATTCGCGTTTCATCAATGTTTCGAAACAAGTTGGTGTAAATCAACTTATACTCAAGCTAGGATATGACAAATCCGAACTGACAAACATTCATACCTTCTTTCGTTGAGTAGCTTTGTCAGATATTGTCATGATTCTACATCCGATGACACTAGTGTATTTAAAATTTCTAATGGTTTATGTGAGAACACGGGTGCAGAATGTGATGACCTAATGCTGCACATATACATATGCATGGACTCTTGGTGGTAGATTCAACCCACACTGACGGTGATGGCAACTTCATTTCTAATATCCATTCTTATGTAAACCTTTGGTACAATAAACAGTGCTGATACATGTGTTTGTTATAAATTGTAGACAATGCTTGGTTCAGACTTTAATAGAAATTAGACAAGTTTTCATCTTCTCTGAATGATACATACAAGAAATTGTTCCTATACACAGCAAATGGAGATTAGATTGAATCCAGCATTGTCAATCTCCTTCCAGTTTGACTTCAGAATGCTTATACATCTTGATGTTTGTATCCTGTTGTTAATGCGTTGTTTTGTTTAGGCTTCATTATAAGTTAAGAATGAATAAGGTATACAAACGTCAAATGTATTTTCATTCATTGGATGACTTGGGTCATTTGAAGCTACACCTGAAGAGTCATGTTTGTAGAAAAAAAAATTTATAGTGAAATTGTAAGGTTGTGAAAGAAAAACAAAACTGTCAAATATGTTTTTTGTTAATGACTCGTTGGGTGTTTCCAACATTTGACTTAAGTTTAGTCCTACAGGCCGAGGCTGTCATTAATCTTAAACATCTGCATTTATATGTATTTAAAAGTCAAATACTAGGAACAGGTATTTAAACCTAAGCTGAAAATCATTTCAATAATGTTGAAATGTCTTCTAACTATAAGACTGTATGGTCACATATTTTGTCACTGGTTTTGTGTGAATATGGTCACATTTGTGAACTGAATAAAGGTGTTTTAACTATGATCAACAAAGTACATAGTAGCCAATGATTCTTTTCGTTTGATGCAGAGTTTGTGATTTATGACAGCACTTGCTTGCTTCGATTGCTGCATGGGAACACAACTTTGAATGTAAGACACATGTACTTGCTGATAAATCTGAATGTAAGATTTGTCTTAGTTAAACAGATGGAATGTGTTGTTTCAAGGTTGTGTTTCTTATGAAGGCAAATAGCATCCCTCAAAGGGAAGCGTCTCATGGATGGACTTGGAAGATTTTAACACTTTTCCACCTGTCAGTTTTTGGTGGATATCCTCCTTCATTATCCAGTGTATCATCTCCATTCTGTTCTGTTATATACTCTGGATCCATTCACCACCAAACTTTGTTTGTGAAGTGTTGACCCCCTAATATATTTAATGTAATCAGAAGACTACAGTCTTTATGCTTGTTGGCTTCCCAGTTGTATTTGAAATGGCACGAAATAAGCGAGTCAAGTATTGGTTATGTTGTTGCTTCCTACCATCATACTTGTAAGAGGCGACTAGCGGGATCGGGCTGACTTGGTTGATGCATGTCATCGTATTCCAATTACGTGGATCGATGCTCATGGTGTCAATCACTGGATTGTCTGGTCCAGATTCTATTATTTACAGACCACTGTCATATAGCTGGAATATTGCTGAGTGCAGCGTTAAGCAACAAAGAAAACCTTCGATCATAAAAGAACCACATAATTTGAGTGTTCTAGCTTTGTGTTGTTATTCACAATGCGCTTAAACAAAGATATGGTTGCTTGTGGGTCCTGTGTGATTATGATAAAATGGAGATCTAAATATGCTGGATAAATGAGGATGGACAGATATATATATATAATTTGTAAATTTCTGGAAATCTGTTGAATTCTTCCACTTGTCATATCCACTGTCCGGAAAACAGTGTAGAAGCAACAGCTATATATATCATCTTAGTGTCAAATTGTGACAAAAGCGCTAAAAAAGAACGTTGCTCTCAGTGCAGAGATGGCAATGGTGGTCATCAGAAGCTGAAAGAAGATTGGTTGTGTATATTGTCTGTGAAGATGGTGACTGATGGGGGTCCAGTTTCTGCCTATGCCGTCCTCATTGCTGTTGCTGTTGCTGTTCCTCCTGCTGAAGACTGCTGTTGAAGATGGCTGTAGTTCCGGCCAGTCCTGTCTCTTCTCCTGTATCCAGAACATGCTGCAGTCTCAGTTGCTGACATGAATGATGGTGGGGAACTACTGTCCTGAATTGTCGTCACTAGTCCCATTTCCTGCCAGCCTTTTGTAAGTATCTGCTTTGTTTTATCAGAGTGACAATGTTACCCTGGCCCCAGTAAAGGTTGACTTGAATGCGGTCGGGTAACAAGGTTACTCTTGTAAAACTAAAAGCAATGGATGCAGCTCTGTAAGTATGGCAAGTCTGTCTTGGCAGATGGCGTAGTAGAGGTGGAGTATTTGTATTGGGATGTAACTTTAATGTTTTAATTTCATGTCTTTCACAGGTGAAGTCTTCACACAAGCTGCCCACAATGTATCTGATAGACTCAATTATCAAGAACCTGCCATCATCTCTCTATCCAAAGCAATTATCACAAAATATTACCCAGACTTTTTGTGGGGTATTTGAAGAGGTCAGCACATTTCCTGAATCCTTTTTTTTTCTAAATTCGCGCAAAAATGGGTTAAGCTTACAATTAAATGTCTCTTTTTTCAAAGGTTTCCGTAACTATTTTGTGCATTAAGAAACTGATGATCTGCAAAAGGGAGTGAACAATATGCTATAGACTGTGTATTGATAATATGTAATATACTAATAAAGGCTATTGCAATAAGTTGTGAAGTTGAATTTCCACAATGCAAATATCATTTCATACCATTGTGGGATCTTCCATCCTAGAAGTGATCTCACTGGGTGTTCAACAACAGTTGAGGTGTTCAACCATGAACCCTGAGTTGGCATACAGATTGTCAGCCTCGTGATTATATGACTAGATGATTTGAAAGGGACCTTCAAGTGAGTGTGAAGTACCAGACGCAAGATTTGTTCATGGTACAATCTATCAGTGAAATATTTCTACACTACAGTCTATGAAAGGAGATCATTGGAAAAATTGAGAATGATGTAATTGTATTAGAAAGTCTTTATTATCCCAAGGGAAATTCATAAACATCTAACTTGAATTTAACAGGTTGAATTCAGATTACTATTTTGATACAAAAATAGTTTCTTAATTATAAATTCATTTATTATTGATATTTAGAACAAGTCATATTTGACAAATACATTGATCTCTTTTCATAGATTCAGCATCCTGCTCACATTACACAGTAGCCCAATCGGTGCCAGCCGGGTACCTTCAGGGATCTGCTGTAGAATAAAATGATTGTCCGTGGTTGTGTTTGTGTTAATCCTTAGAAATCTGAACACAAAGTCCTTTTTGGATCAGAATAGGTAAAAACTGGTTCCCATATTGATCGTGAAGGGGTGGTCGGGTAGCCTAGTGGTTAAAGCGCTCGCTCATGACGCCGAAGACCCAGGTTTGATTCCCGACATGGGTACAATGTGTGAAGCCCATTTCTGGTGTCCCCCGCCGTGATATTGCTGGAATATTGCTAAAAGCGGCGTAAAATCATACTCACTCACTCACCATATTGATCGTTCACTTACAAATTTAAAATCTGAATCACATTTTAATCATACACTTATTGATTTATCATTTCTTATCTGAACCATGTAGTTCCAATTTGGAAGGAGTTTGAGTTCAAGTTCAAGATTGTATTGATTATGTATACAACTCGTGATAAAGGATAAGAACTTAAAGTAGTTGGTGCATTTCTGCTGGTTTTCAGGTGCCACTGTTACACGTGATCAGCTGGTATTTTAGTAGACACTAATCAGAAACAAATTCGTGCTAGTAGATACAGAAGTCTTTAGTCACAGACTGGACTTAGGTACTTCACAGGTGTTACACTGATGCAGTTGATTTTGTAATGGAAAGGGCAAATTTGATTTCTCCAACTCATCCATTTCTGTATCATTTTGCATAATGACCTGTTGTCTGGTGTACTTGCTTATGGAATGCACGTTCAGAACTGCCAGTGAATTTCTGGCTCAGAATCAACTGCAACAGTAGTGTGACGTCAAATGTCATGAATAGTGGACTTTAAAGGCTCCGCTTTTAGGACACCTCAACATGTGCTCAGAATGGCTTCTGAAACCTTGTACATTCAGTCATATGATTGTCTTCATGAAAGATGTAATGCTAGCTGTGATGATTTGAATGCTTTTGACAGGTCACTTAATGCAGCGATAATGTTTCATTGTTCCTCTTCATATCGCCTCATATATGCAATTTCAAAACCTAATCAGTGATTTGACTTACCGTATTCATCGTATGAAACACTATCCTCCAATAAGCACCCCCTCACCAACATCTAGACCAATCTGGTAGTAATTTTAATAGGCATTCCCCCCCACCCCCACCCCAAAAAAATATGACCAAACGTTTTCATGACAGTCTGTTAGTTATGTTAAAGATCTTTTTTACAGAGTACAGCAGTGAGAACATTTGTTAAGGGGGTGTATGCTTGCTTAGTAACTATTGTTGAAAAAACTTAGCATCACTGACATTTTAACCAAGTTTGTTCTCTTCCTCGCAATCACGGACAGATATAACCCTTGTATGGTTTTAATAATTGGTTTTACTAATTTATTTGAAAAACGATGTCTACAGAAAAAGTATAAAAAACGTGCAATTGTTTGAATGCCAGACCACTACAAATTACATAACAGCTAATTATAGTTTGTTGATGCATTATTCAAGCATTGTGTAATATGTTTGACAACTTACATGACATTTAAGAAAAAGCAAAGTTTCAGATTTTCTTAAATTTAATACATATAAATTGAGAAATTATTTTCTAATATTCAAGTTATGTTAGTGCCGGTGGGTTTTATCAGAGCAGTAAATGTTCAAGACTTGGATCATTTGGGGCTTTCCTTCACAATAAGAAAACACCCTGTTATATGAGAGAATATTGTACAAGGTGTCTTTGAACCCAAATACTAACTTTTGTAGTTGTTAAAGCAATTGCTTGTCATCCTGAAGACTTGGGTTTGATTCCCCACATTGGTACAATGTTTAACATCCATTTTCTGCTTTCCTCCAATGTAATGTAAATCTTGAGGCATTAAACTTATGGTGGGGATGTCATTGTATATCACGATATCAGTGTGTCTGTAAATTTCTGTGTTGAGGCAAATGTAGAAATAGTGATGTTAAATTAATAATACACTGCCACATAAACATGGAGATTTTCACTATCACTATGGTTAAGATGGACTATAAGAAGATAGAAAATACAATCTTAACATTCAATGGATCAGCCTAATTCATATTTTCCATTAAATCAATTACCTTCAGGTCTGCATAAGTGATTTTTAGCTTAACACACACAGAATAACTAATTGTTTTGTTAATTGCTACATCATGATACTTGTGAGTCAATATATCAATGCTAAATTTCCAGTTGATGATGCCCCTATCATATGGTGTGTTTCATTCATGACGATGTATATTAGAATTTTGTGAGGCAAGGAAGCTGAGCAGGAGCACTGTTGCCTGCTGTGGATCTCACAGCAGGACGTGTGACTCCACTTGAAGTTTTTACACCTAGTACAATGACTGATATGATAGTGTCAACACATACCAGCTGGAGACAAGAAAAACATGAAATATCCAACAAAGAAGATGGCAACCTGTCATTTTTTACATCAACACACATGCTGTGAACCTTATGACACCAACATATGCACATAAATACAAAGGAGAAATAGGAGTAAGATTCCTATTAATGTTAATTCAGGCTGTATTCACTTGAAACACATTGCTTGTCATAAGCATGAGTTACTGAAATACCTCCTTGGTCACAAGATGGCGTTTCAACACCAGTTACTAATTATAACATTTAGAATGAATGGTGAAACCAAACTGACTGTCCATATGCAGAATTCCAGGCTGTGTTCTGTCATCGGCAATCCTGAAAAAGATGGTACTGGTCAATGGTATGAAACCTGATGTTGAGCATTGTGGATTTCTTTTGAGTCTTTGGTTTCTTTGATTATGTATGTTTTTGAATCTGTTGGAATGCAGGTAGATGAAAAGACACGTCAGTCGCTCTTCAAGCTGAGACAAACATGGAAAGATATATTCCCCAACAAGAGACTGTATGCTATCGATGTACGTGTAAATATGATGGATCCAGCATGGCCTATCACAGCTCAGGCTCCAGAGCAAGGAAATATACATGTAAACCCAAAGTTTCTTGTGCAGGTAAATTTTGACACACACATCACATGGAACAAGTGTTAGCATCTTAATCTTAAAGGCAGGGCCATGAAATGTGTGGCTCTTTTTGGATGACACAAATACTCAGTCATTGTCTAATTATCAATAGTCGTATTATTGCAACACTTTAGGCTAACTAGAACATGTTTTTTAGTGATAGACGTCTTCTAAAATGTCCTCAACAATCAGGTTCTATATGCATATATTTTAAGACTGAGTTCTGTTTATGATCTATAAAAAATATGGTCTGACTCAATTATTTGGTCTGATGGATATTTGGAATATTTTCCATTTTTTTCCCTGAACTTGCTCGGGACATTTAGGGAGTTTATTACGTAAAATCATCATCTCTTGCCACCAACTGTGTTCTCTGCACAGAGAAATAATAAATTAGCATTAAATGTGATTCCAGTACTCTAAAAGCACATTTTCAAGAGCTAAGTGAATATGAAGCGACTCGCCCCCTATTCTATTGATATACACAACACATATATCAGTATGTCAGTACTTGTCCACAACCTGTGTGATGTGACTTACAGAGTGTTCGAAATTAAGGGGGGGTTCCCTTGAGATTTGCTCCTATAGAACTAGATTCGGGGGACTCAACTTTTAACATTTGGGTAAAAACATGGACCCCTTGATTTTGGGGTATAATTTTGAACATTGATACAGACATTTGTGGTCGGTGATAAGTTCATTACACACACATTCTGTTTAAATTTACAAAATGTTAATTCTGTGGGATGCAGAACATATTTTAACAATAAATTTATGGTTCTAAAGAAATACATGACATTCCACATACAATGACATATATAGATTAAATACATACCTCAATTTGGTTCACAGAGTGCAGAGGATAAGGCTCGATTCTCTCCTCCTGCCCCTTCTCCCCCTCCCATGGATGATGCAGAGGAATTGATGAGGCAACAACTACAAGCCAAGGAACAAGAATTGCAGAAGCTTAAATTGGAACTAGAATTGGCTGAAACTAGGGCCAAGTTAGAGGAACAAAAGAAACAGGTGAGATGAAGGCCTAGGTATAGAATCCATACGAATACAGAAGGATTTGTTGGATATTTTGGACATGTAGTGTCTGTGAGTTGGTGAATGTCAAACTGTCCAAAAGTTTGTTTTAAAAATCCTGTTCTGTTCTGTTCTCTTTGGTTGGTTGGCAAACAGCTGTATAATTTTGTTGATGTGGTGTACAGCAATACTTATTGATTCACATTTACTGCAGTCTGTACTTTCTCCTGTCAAATGTCACTATCTAGAATGCTTACTGGAACATGAATCTGATTAGTCTTTAACAGTCATGTATTTACCAACCAATGTTTCTTTTCTATCAGACTTTGTTCCTCTATCTTGTTAATCCAAAACTAAATTTGATGTTTTGTCTTCCAGCTTGAACAGAAATATCATGCTGAACAAAAGAAAAATCATGGATCCACCACGCCCAGCATGCCTATTCCTGATCCTGTGCCTCCAATTCCTTCTAAGTCAGCAAGCAGTGGCCCAAGAGATCCTAGACTTGCTTCTAGAGATCCAAGGAAAGCAGCCCGAGATGCCAGACAGGTTCCAAGTACAGCACCCCCATCCACTGGGGGGAACTTGGCTGTCTTGCAGAACACCAATGTTGTTGCTGCTTTAAGCAATGTGCTAATGGGAAGTCAGCCAGCTGCAGGTACCCCAGCTCCTAATATTGATCCGAATGTAGGCACTGGAGCCAAGATACCTTCTCAAAAACAGGACAGTAGGAAAGACAAATATTCAAAAGATGTCAAGAAAGATTCATCATCATCTAAAAAGCCATCCCCCGATAAGAAAGAACAGACAGAGCTGAGTGACTCCAAAAAATCTGAGAAGAAAGATAGCACATCCAAATCACCAAAGAAAGATACTAGGAGCTCTAGAGAGAAATTAAAGGAGCCCTCAAAAGACACTAAGAAAAAATCACCAAAGTCTGACCCCAGAGAAAAATCCAAAGAGAGAGAAACCAAAAGTTCCAGAAAGAGTAGGAGTATCAGTCCAAGGAAAGACAGAATTGTGAGTAAGGATAAGGACGCTAAGTCTAAAATAAGAGAACAGGAAGAACGAAGGTCATCTGATGAAGAATATGCTAGATTCAAAAGGCAGAATTTTCACAGAAATGCAAATGAAGATGAAGATGAGGATCGATTTGGACGCATGACTCGAGCTGGAAGAGGGTTCCGACAAAGAAATGGTGAGAAAGACCGACCAAGACATGAAATGGCTCGTGGCAGGAGAGGGAGTAAAGATGAATTTGAGAGGTCTCCCAGAAGATCAAGATCACCTCAAAGAAGGGAAAAGGATAGAAACCAGAAATCTCACAAGAAAATTGAAGTAAAGAATGAACCTGAGCATCAAATGAAGACATTGCCAGATTTGCCTTTGCCTCCAACTATGCCATTAGACCAGATCTTACCAAAGGACTTTGATGTGCGAACTCCCAAACTGAATACACTTAGTGTGAAGAGAGAAGCTCCTGAAATGGATGTTGACGAAAGGTCAATTGGTATGAGGCAAACTGGCCCTCCTGATTCTAAGCGCCCTCGCACTGATACAGGCCCTGGAGAGGTGGAAGCATCTGAGTAAGTTTATATTTGAATCACATCGAACTAACCATAAAATAGCTCTTGACATGAAAATGTATTGCCTACTTGATTCATATTTTATTCTTTATGATAATTGGACTGTAGAAAGTCACCTTAAACCGTACGTCTAATTCACAATCTCCCCTTCAGTTTTTTATTGTATGTGTAACATATTCTTTTTGGATTACAGAAACCTGTTTGGAGGTGAAGATATAGACTACAGATTTGCTGGAGCTCCACTGAAATCTCCTGTCCATGATGGCTGGTTGAAGTACAAGACTAGTCGGCCAGATGAATATGCAGGAGAACTAGAGAGAAGGAAATCCAGGGAGGATGACCATATGCAAGATGTTGATTTACGCAGAATTAAGTCTCCAAATATTAAAATGAGACCCCCACCAATGCCACCAGCCGATCTAACTAGCAATGTGTCCATTCCATTGGAACTCCAGTTGGACAAACAACAGGAAATCCTCATCCAAGCAGAGAGGCAATTGCAGGCAGGTACTCTCTCTCATGAACAGCATCAAGATCTCCTGAAGCAACTCAGTCAGGTTTTTGACATTCAGAGAATCAGGCAGAAACAAACCAGAGTTGACCCAAGAGTAGCTGCAAGAGAGGCAAGAGAGAAAATAGTGCAAGATGTGTGTGTTGGTTCAGTAAAGAATGAATCTGCTGATCTTCCACTTGGTACAAGTGAAGATGTTGACCATAGGAGACCTTCCAAAGATTCTGTTGAGAAATCTTTGATGGATGTTGATAGGAGACAAAGTGGAGGTGATATCGACATAAGGAAAGATACTTCTCTGGATGTTGACATAAGGAAAAGACCTGCCTTTGAGGTTGATCAGCAACTTCAGAGTGACATTGATATCCGTAAACAACTTCTTTCAGACCTGGATAATAAAAGGAAACATGGTGACACCAATTCAAGGAAGCCAGTGCCTAGTGACACAGACATTCGCAAGAAGCTACTTGCAGATCTTGATCTCAAAAGGAAACAGTTCACTGATGTAGATGCAAGGAAACCAATTCCAAGTGACATTGTCAATAGGCAGACAAAGCAGGATCCTATGGATGTTGATATTCGACAAAAAATGCCAAGGAGAGATCCTCGGAAGAGAACGACGGATGTTGATGAGAGGAAAGGTCTTGCCGAGAAGGAGACTTCTCAAGGAGATGTTGATATTCGTCAGAAACCAGCAGCTAATGTTGATATTCGTCAGAAACCAGGAGCTGATGTTGATATTCGTCAGAAACCAGCAGTCGATGTTGATATTCGTCAGAAACCAGCAGCTGATGTTGATATTCGTCAGAAACCAGCAGCTGATGTTGATATTCGTCAGAAACCAGCAGTCGATGTTGATATTCGTCATAAACCAGGAGCTGATGTTGATATTCGTCAGAAACCAGCAGCTGATGTTGATATTCGTCAGAAACCAGCAGCTGATGTTGATATTCGTCAGAAACCAGCAGTCGATGTTGATATTCGTCAGAAACCAGCAGTCGATGTTGATATTCGTCAGAAACCAGCAGTCGATGTTGATATTCGTCAGAAACCAGCAGCTGATGTTGATATTCGTCAGAAACCAGCAGTTGATGTTGATATTCGTCAGAAACCACCAACTGATGTTGATATTCGTCAGAAACTAGCAGCTGATGTTGATATTCGTCAGAAACCAGCAGCTGATGTTGATATTCGTCAGAAACTAGCAGTCGATGTTGATATTCGTCAGAAACCAGCAGTCGATGTTGATAATCATCAGAAACCAGCAGCTGATGTTGTTATTCGTCAGAATTCAGCAGCTGATGTCGACATTCGTCAGAAGCCACCAACTGATGTTGATATTAGATCCAAAGTGCTAACCAATCTTGAAACAAGGCAGACAGTACAGGCTAAGCAATCTGCTGATGTTGATATTCGTCAGAAATCTTCAAATGATGTGGACATTAGACAACATTTGTCAAGTGATATAGGCCAAAGATCAGCCCTAGTTGATGTTGACATCAGGCAAAAGCCACCTGCTGAGGTTGAAGAGCCATCTAAGCTGACTGTTAAGCAACCATGCGACACAGATAGTAGGCAGAAATCACCAGAAAAGATGAAAACTCAAAAGCCTGTTGGTGATGTTGATAATCGCCATAAACCAGTCAAAGATGCTATAATCAAAGTTTCACCGTCTAAGGATGCTGAAAAAACTACAGATGTAGATGTTCGAAAGAAGCCAAAGGGTGATATTGATGTTCGTAAGAAATCTTCGAGGGAGGTTGAAAAGAAACCTCAAAGTTCAGTTGCCAGCTCTGAACAGCCAGTTGACACCGACATCCGGAAAAGGGTACCACGGCAACCTCTCCTTCCAACTCCTGGTGACATGGATATGAGACCACCTCCGCTCCTGGAATCTCCCATAAAAAGACCTGGTCGCCAGATGGATGTTGATGATCGATCCATGCCTTCAAGGCATCTCGAAATGCACCCGATGGATGTTGATGCAAGGCACATGAGACACAGCCCCCCTCGTATTCCTCGTGAAGACCCTCACTTCAGACATGGTCCTCCTAGTGATTTTGGAGATCGTGATCTCAGACAAAGATCTTTGCCTAAAGACTTTGATCACAGAGGCCCACAACAAGATTTTGATAACCGTGGCCCCCTTAGGAATATTGATCACAGGGGAATCCCTAGGGACATTGATCCCCGAGACCAACCTCGAAGCATGGATTCTCGTGGCCCACTGCTAGACATTGACCCAAGAGGTCCTCTGCGAGATATAGATCCGAGAGGTCCACCAAGAGACATTGATCCCAGAGGCCCACTAAGGGACATGGATTCCAGAGGTTTACTACGAGACATGGATCCCAGAGGTCTTCCTCGAGAGCTGGATCCCAGAGGCCCACCACGAGACATTGACCCAAGAGGCCCACGAGACATTGATCCAAGAGGCCCACCACGAGACATTGATCCAAGAGGCCCACCACGAGACATAGATCCAAGAGGCCCACCTCGAGACATTGATCCAAGAGGCCCACGAGACATTGATCCAAGAGGCCCACCTCGAGACATAGATCCAAGAGGCCCACCTCGAGACATAGATCCAAGAGGCCCACCTCGAGACATTGATCCAAGAGGCCCACCTCGAGACATAGATCCAAGAGGCCCTCCTCGAGACATTGATCCAAGGGGCCCACCACGAGACATTGATCCAAGAGGCCCACCTCGAGACATAGATCCAAGAGGCCCACCTCGAGACATAGATCCAAGAGGCCCACCTCGAGACATTGATCCAAGAGGCCCACCTCGAGACATTGATCCAAGAGGCCCACCTCGAGACATTGATCCAAGAGGCCCACCTCGAGACATTGACCCAAGAGGCCCACCTCGAGACATTGATACAAGAGGTCCACCACGCGACATAGACACAAGGGGCCCACCACTCGACATAGATCCCAGAGGTCCAATGAGAAACTTTGATAGTCGTGGCCCTCCAAGAGATTTTGATGTGAGGGAATTTGACCAACAAGGTCCACCTAGGGACTTTGATCACATTGGTCCACCACAAGATCTGGATCAGCGGGTACCACCCCAAGATTTAGACTTTCGTGGGCCACCAAGACCAAATGAAAGACCAGACAGGTTTGAACCTAGGGAAGATATTCCACCACCAAGAGACTTTGAAACTCATCCAAGAGAAAGATCTCAGAATCTTGATCAAGACCTTCGAGGACCAAGATCTGATTTTGATCAAAGAGGCCCAAGATCTCGACCTGAATTTGAAGATAGGGATAGACCTGGATCTAGACGTCACCATGATAACCGTCAAGGTCGATATTCCAGACGAGAGGACAATTTAAGAGATGGTCCCCAAGATGATCGGTTTCCTGATCGATGGGAACGACGTGGCAGAGGTTCTAATCAAGGTGGTTCACGTAGGCACGAGTCATACCAAGATCCTCGTTGGCAAGCTATGAAAGGATTTCAGCAACTTGAGGCTAGGGAGGAGTTTGTTATTGATGGCAGAGCTTATGAGATTAAAATTGGGAACAAGCCAAAGAAACTAAAAATGAAGGGATCTTTTATGGAAATTTATGCTGATCCGATTCAAAGAGCAATACTGATAAATGGAATATTGTACTACAAATTTGGAGAACCTATTAAGCAGATAGAATTTGATCAGAAAACATACACTGTCTATTTTAATGGTTTGCCAAAGCCTGTTTGGCTAGATGGAACTCAGCATGAGCTAAGGATTGATGCCCCACCAAGAAATATCGTAATTGATGGCAAACCACGAGGATTCCAAATAGATGGCAGAGACATGATGATTCTTGTAGACCGCCTTGAAAAGGGGACATATGGGGGACCTCCAAGACAACTTCTAATTGATAATGTTATTCATGAGATTAGGTTTGATGCCCCTCCTCGGCAGATCTTGATTGATGGACAGTCTTGTGACTTGATCCTGGATAGGGCTATTCCAGTTGTTATATACAATGGGAAACCTCATGGAATTAGGTTTGATGGTCCCCCAAGAGAGATGATCATTGATGACTATCGATTTCTTGTACCAATGGACAAAGCAGACAAAGTTCGGATCAAATATAAGCCACATTACTTGGCATTTGGTGGTCCAGCTCATGAAGTAATCATCAATGGAAAAAGGTATGAGATTAAATTTGATAATGTGCCAAGAGAAATCGTGATAGGACACACACCACATGTTATTCGTCTTGAGGGACCTACTCCCAATGTGAAGATTATGGATGAAGTACCCATAGAATATGAGAATGCCATGGTGAAATCATTGGGTGTTCATGGACATGCTCACATGACCCCTCAAAGTCGGATGCAAGGACCTGGTCCCATGGGTCCTCAGAATTTTGGTCCAGGTGGTCCAAGGCCAATGATGCAAGACGGCCCCCAACCAATGATGCCAGGTCAACCGATGATTCCAGGTCAACAGATGCCTCAGCCAGGGATAGCACAACCTATGCCAGGCATGCAGGGTGGAATGGTGATGCAAGGTGGACCAATGATGATGCAGAACCAGATGATTGGCGGCATGCAGTCCATGATAGGAGGGATGCAGATGCAGCAGGGTCAAATGATGATGGGTGGAGTTCAGCAGATGCCAATGCAACAGGGAGGAATGTTTATGCAGCAAGGTTCGTTGATACCATTTTCTTTGTTTTGTGGAATTAAATAGATCAGCCATCTTTTTTAGAAGCTCATTGCACTCAATTGGCTGGCTTTGGGGTAGCCTTTTGCTGTTGGTCAACCAACCAAGGATTGATTTCTAGTAAGGCAGAATATGTTACTGTGTTATTGCCAAGTTAGACGTGGCATAAAACCTCATTCAATCTTCTGTACGCATTGGCCCATTTACTTAAATAAGGAGTAGTTATCTGTTCAACATGGCTGAATTTCATCTTAAATTGCCATTTCACACTTGTGCATGCAAGTAATTATTAATTAAGAATGTTCTCTTTTTTTAGTAATTGTTGTTTTCTATTGCAGGTACACCAGTGAGCCAGGGTCTCGGATTGCCCAGTGTCTTGAGCAGCTTATTGCCAGGAGCAGGTATAGTTATATGTTTTCGTGCTTTCTGTATCAGTGTATTTGTGGTGGGGTAGCCAAGTGGTTATGGCATTGGCCTGGCATGCTTAAGACCTGGGCTCAATTCCCTTAGTGGGTACAATGTGTGAAGCCCATTCTTGGTGTCCTCGGCTTTAGCTGGAATATCAGCACTCACCTTCCCACGTGACAGCAAACTGTGTTTGCATTTGATCTTCCTTTCACAAAGCTTGTAAAATTACCATAAGACTATTAAGAGGTTCTAAGAGTTCTAACTTTCATGGACTTAAGTTTAGTTATATAAGTATGCTGATGCGTGGTTTTCTGGAGACGGTGGGGTAGCCTTGTGGTTAGAACTTTGGCTCATCACCCTGTTGACCCTATGTCAGGGATTTTTTAAAGTTCTTATTTTCTTAAATTCAGATGTATTTTAATGTTGTATTTTGATAGCATTCCATGAAATAAGGAAAACCTCTACTAAGCCATAAAATTGGTTGTTAATTATTACATTAAATGGGAATGTTTAAGAACATTTGCTGCAGACATAGAGCCGAATACCGGCCTTTGAGCTGGTCTAGATAAATCCTGTAAATACATACAATTTGTGAAGCCGATTCTTGGCTCGAATATGGCATTCTAAACCCCAACCACTCACTTCCATGGTTTTATGTCCACAGGTGGTATGCAAGTTCCAAGTGCACAACCTGCTTCTGTAGATGTTGGTTCACTCTTCCAAAAGCTGGTGGCTGCTGGTATCATACCTCAGGGAGAGAAGACTGAAGACAAGCCTGCTGAATCTGTCGTCAACAAGAAGGACGTTAAAGAAAAATCTGACAAAAGGCATGAGAGACACGACAGACATGACAGGCATGACAGGCATGACAGACGTGAGAAGAGTGACAAGAGTGACAAGAGTGACAGAGGGGGGCGTTCAAAGGTATGCTGTTAAAGTGAACAGTATTGTGGTGAATAGGTGTCGCTAAATTCCGTGATTAGATTAGTCTGTTTTCAAAATGAATGTTCAAGTATTTGGTAATGAGAGAATATTTGTTTAAGGTTGATGTGATCATGGAATTAGTATTCAGTGTCCGAAGGTTATATGTCCCAATCCCTGGAAATAAGACTGCCTCCGTGGTCTAGTGGTAGAGTGTCAATCTCATTAAAATCAGACCTTAGTTTTCGCTACCGCTAAACAAAGAACTGAAGACATTCCATTAGGGGTCACGTCAGAACGACCTTTCATCCGACCAATCAGAGTCTGACGTGATCCGTAATGGGATGTCCTCAGATCTTAGTTTAGCGGTAGCGAGAACTAAGATCTGATTTTAATGAGATTGGGTAGAGTGTCTACCCAAGACCGGAAGGTCCGCATCATACCAAAAGACGGTACTTGTTGTTACCCTGTCTGGTTCTCGGCATTAAAGGGCTAAAAACAAGGACTGGTTGGCTCGGAGTCAGTATACTGTGTCTTAGTAGGGGGTATTCATGTTAAACTGTGGCATGGTATCTCAGTGGGCTAGCACTATAAAATTGGCATCAGTCCGGAATAATGGACGTGACATTTCACCTCACCACCCCTGGAAATGATGATATGAATTTGAGGGGGAGAGGGTGTTGATCAGTGGTTCACAGCTACACTTATTTTGGAGACAAGATGTGGGGAACATACCTGTACGTGTTCCTGCTTGATACTGATCATGTAGAGAGGTGTCATTTGATTTGTTAATTTTTTTGTTAATATTTACATTTTATGCTCTTTCAGGTATCACAAAACAAAGACATGGATGATAAAATCCCCGAAATTATCCTGGCCAAGACAGACACAATGAAAAAGTATGTTCCAAGTTAATTTCTAAATTTGTTGCAATATCAACATAAATCATTTAAAAAAACTTATTGATGCACATTAGTATGCACAAATTTGACAAGAGCCAGAAAGCATGTTAGAACGGATGGACGAGCCTATTAATCCACAGACGAAAGAAAATAGGGAATGTTTCCACCCATAATCTACTTATACATAAACCACTAGTCCGAAATGAGCTGTAAATTATCATGATTCAACTCATTGTGTCAGCTCCTGTTCCCTTTGGGATTCCTGGATAAAAAAATAGGTCCCCAGCAACCTATACTCGTCAGAAGAGGCGACTTAGTGGATCAGGTGGTCAGGTTCTGTGACTTGGTTGATTGCATGTCATCATATCCCAATGCTCATGATATCAATCACTGGATTCTCTGTCCCGGACTGCCGTCACACAGCTGCAATTTGTCTGAGTGCAGCCTTAAAACAACAAATAAACAATTGCTGTTTTTAGGGTGAAGGAACATGATATTAGTTGATACAGAAAAGGACACTGTAACCAGTCAGTTTGAAGCCATCCTCATTTGAGTACTCTGATAAAAAAAATTTCAATGAAGTCCTACATCAGACTGGCATGTTATGTGAATGAATATGAGACCATCTATTTTGAATGGGTTTAACCAGCCAACATATGTGAGTGAGTGCATTCTATTACAGTCAACATCGCAAACATGCTATCAGTAGAAGTATTCTTGATTTCAGGTTCTACAAAGGAGTCATTCAAAAAATCTATCACGGCATCCAGTGCTCATCTTGTGGTACCCGGTTCAGAATGGAGGACACGGATATCTACAGAGAGCATCTTGACTGGCACTTTAGACAGAACAAGCGCGGGAAAGATGACACCAAAGTGGCAAGAAATAGAAACTGGTACTACAAAACCAACGTAAGTTGATACTTAATACTTAATACTCTTGTCATTCACATACGTACAGCATATGTTCCTAGTAATAATATTGTTTGTTTTATGTCAAAGGGTATGATTTCTTTAGTTTGTCAAACTTAAATGATAATCAAATATTATCATTTCTTTCTTCAGGATTGGATTCAATATGAAGAGTTTGGAGATTTGGAAGAAAAAGGTAAGCATTTCAAGGAACTTTTTTTCTTATGCAGCATTTTGTATGATGGTTTTGAGAATTGTTATCGGATATCTGTCAAAACATTTGATATGAAGTTAACATTTTCACAGTTTGAGACTTATCTGTTAGTTCCAAAGTTCTTTTCATGGTTAATGTTTCTTTTTCCAGCTCACAGTCAGATATTTGACAAGATGCTTCAAGGTCAAGGACAGACTGTTCCAGAAACAGTTGGGTCTGGGTTCAATCCTCCACCAGGTGTGGATTTCATCAGCTGCCCTCCGGCAACAGGCAATGAGCAGGATGATGTGAGTACCATTCATGTGATTTCGTCAGGGTTCATACGGGTCATGGAATGATTTCTTATAGCATCAGTCAGACTCAGGTTGTTTACAGGCTGCCGTCACGTACCTGCAAATTGCTGGGTGAGGCATTATTAAAAAAACAAAAACTGTACAGTAACTAAAAGATTAAGGGATTCATTTTGGATAGAGGGGTGGTCGGGTAGCCTAGTGGTTAAAGCGTTCGCTTGTCACACCGAAGACTGGGGTTTGATTCCTGACATGGGTACAATGTGTGAATCCCATTTCCGGTGTCCCCCGCCATGATATTGCTGGAATACTGCTAAAAGCGGCGTTAAACAATACTCACTCACTCACTCATTTTGGATAGTGTATTTGGGTTTCTAGTTCTCTAATTAGAGATTAAAAGATTTGTTATGTATAAATAGAATTGGCCTTTATGATTTTGTGCTGACTTTTGAAGAACAAAGTGATTCTACCACACAAAGAATGTAATCATGAACTATACATGTTACGATGTTGTGTATGTGTTTCAGGTGTGCTGCATTTGTCACGATCCATTTGAGCAGTACTGGAACGAGGAAGCGGAAGATTGGCATCTGCGTGATGCAGTAAGAGTTGACAAGAAGGTAGGAAGTGGCTACTACAGAAATGAGTAACACTTTAGGCAATGAGTAACTTACCTGACACCTGATGTTTCATCAACATTCAAAAAAATAATTTGCAGTCATTCATCAACAATATCTTCAAATATTAATGTGAAATATGATTAGTTGGCAGAATATATGTAAATTATGGAATAATAATGAATCGTCTTTCTCATTTTCAGACATACCATCCTGTTTGCTTCCAGGATGCAAGAGAAGAGGTTGGTTTAAGAAATGTTCTTTTAATATCTGTTTGCTTTTGTAGGGAGTTGCTCAGCTTTACTGTTTTTTGGCTACTCATAAGAGGTTGAGGACCACCTGATTCTTTTGTATTACAGTCAAGTCTTGTTAATCCGACACTCGATAATCAGACAATCGGCTTTATCCGACACAAATGATGGGAACTGATTGAATCAGTGCTATTTAGACCTGTTAAACCGACCGCCTCGCACTCCGACTCCAACACACCTAATTTGCAACGAATTGCTGAAATCGCTCATTAATCAGTCTCGTTAATCCGACACAGTGATCAGCGTACTCCGTGGTCATCTGCCCGCGAGTACACAGCCCCATGTTTTAATGCGAGTAGCTGCATATTTCAACGGCTGCAGAGATAATCTTGCTTAACAATAAACAATTAATGCTTTAAATAAAGAAAACATGATTAATCACATTCCTAGATTATCTCAATCTCAAATAAATCGGATACAAGTTCTCGCTACTGCAGAGGACATTACATCCCATTACAGGTCGCGACAGAAAGCCCTTTCGCGAACTTTGACCAACCAATCAAATTACTAACAGGAAGTCGACATTAGCCACTAAGAAAGCAGTTTTCTTAAGCATTGCGGCACTAGTTTCAAATTGGCGACTTCCATTCCCGACTATTCTTTAAAAAGTATTTTGAATCAATCATACAGTCTGTAACAGTAGTTTTGTGTTAAACTTTAGAGGTTGCATGATTAGAAAACATATTCCGCTAACAATGTAACACAACAATATGAATATATTTTTTTCCTTTTTTTTTTATAACAACATGTTTGAATCGTTATGTTCTGTATAGTTGTCCAATTTTAGATCACGAATGTTAATACTACCTAATTTCGTTTATTCAACACAATCATATGCAACCAACAATGTTGGATTAACAGGACTTGACTGTACTATTGTTTATTTGTCATGGAGCACCCGATTCTTTCATAGTCATGGCATGACATAGTCATTTATAGTCATTTGAAATAATCAGCTGGTCCTTAACTTTTTGGGGGTTGTATGTTATGAAATATTAGGGAACAAAAGGTAAATTGCAGGTTTTAGATAGAGATTAATATTCACATTGTCTCTGTGAGAAGCAGCAGTGTTAGACATGAACCCTGATCAAAGAGTACTAAAATTCGGGAAGGACAAATTATTGCTCTAAAAGATGGTGATGTTTCTTCTCACCAGTGGACTACTTTGAATTAACAATTGGTAGCTATTCCTGAATACTATGTATTGATAATAGTTCATCATCTATAGTTTAGTCAAGACATTGCTGTGAAGAGATGCATTATTGTTACGCCTTTCGTTGTTTCAGGGCACAATACTGGAACCATCACCCACTCCAACCACCACCTCCCAGGAAAACCCTCTTGTCCAACAGATACAGGCGGTCACAGCCAACTCATCCAAATCACCACCTCCCCTCATTCCCACCCAGCCAATCCCAGTCTCCTCCCCAGTCACAACAGTCACACCCACTCCAGTCACAGTCAAAACTGAGCCAATCAGCATGGAGGAGGAGTCTGTGACACCTGCAACTCAAGTGCCTAGTGAGCCAATCGGAAAAGAGCCTGTTGAAGCCCCAGTCAAAGAACCTGAAGAAACCCCAGCTGAAGCACCTGTAACTAGCCCACCTCCTATAGTGAAGGAAGAGCCAACAGATTAGTGTCTTCTTGTGCAATGGTCTATTTATAGTGTCCCTGCTGTGATATTGCTGGAATATTGAAAAAAGCTGTGTTAAAAGCTCATTCACTCACTCACTCATCTTTGTACAACTGGACAGTGTTTGGGATGAGAGATTTGACATCCCAGACTGTACATGTGTTTCATTGGATCTCATCTGAAAACAGGCTTAATCAAATCAGTACTTTCATGAGTGTATACAATAAAACATGAATGTATATATGTAGATATGTAAACCTCGCAATTGTACATTGTGTAGATGTGCTGAAGAATGTGCTTATTGTTCAATCCAAAGATGGTGCATGAATCTTTTGTTTCCTACTGTAAATGTGTAAAAATGAATCATCTAGAATAGGGGTGTTTGTACAAATCAACGTCTAGGTCAGATATCACCCAGTGTGAGTTCAAGTAACTGTACAGCAGGTCTATGCAAAATAAAATTGGTGCAGTAAGGTATGCGTGTTCATGGGATTGACTGCGATCAGTGTGAAGGGCATTGTTCTCACTAGTGTAGTCTTGTCTCTTTACAGAATGTCTCTTATAGAACTTGGATATATTTTTGGATAAGATACAAATGTGTGATCATGGAATTAGTTTTATTCTAGAAATATATTTCTGCATATTTTTGTCAATTCTGTGATGTTTAAATATTCACAGTTCATAATTGGGAACACAGATTTAACTGATATTGAATATATGGACTCAAAAGGTGACATGTACAAATATGACATTACTTTTTACTCTTCATTCAAAATTCATTTTGTTATCAACTTGTTTTATGAATATTTTTTTCTTTTACAATTGATATTTTATTGTCTCAGACAGTGTCATTTGGTTTGAAAAGTTCAATAATAAGTCTGGATAATTTATTTGCCTTTATTTATTCAAACTTTGTACTTTTTCCAGAGTTCTTGTTTTACTTTTGAAACCAAATTATTGAATGGTCCACTTTATATCATTAGTTCATAGAGAGTGCTCATTTGAAAGTTTGATGAATGAAAGAAGTTATTCTGATGTTTTCTAGTCACAAACATAACGTGATGACAGTGCTACATGACTTAGAAGAAACATTCCAATTCCACTTCACCAATGTCTGCCAAATTGCTGATGCATCCTAAAGCAATAATTACTTGCTCACTCCAGAGTTATGTTAATATTTAACGTTTGTTTGCGGAGAAATCAGCATGACCATTGCAAGAAACATATTACTGAAACAAACCTCATATCTTTTAAATTCAGGGTATGAATTCTTTAAAGGGTTGGGAGCTCAAATAATTTAATCAAAAGTGTGAGTGTTTTGTATTTTCATAATATATTTCGACTTCTGACAAGTGATAGTCAGTAGTGTATGTTCATCGTCTTGTATTCCATCTTTATAATGTGGAACATTGAATGAGATAACTTTTATTTTCTGTCTAAATGATGTGTCTAGCTCAAGATTAAATAAATTTTGAGTTTACTAAATCAGTTTGTTGTTGTTTTTGGTGTTATGTGTTTAGTGTTAAGTTTAGTTTAGCTGACTGGAATGTATAAAAGATATTCTTAGACATTGTTTCTCGAGAATATCACAATATTATTGACTGTTAAGAATGATATATGATCCCATATGTAGCCTCACTGCACAACTGGATTTTGACAGCTACAGTGTTTAAATTAATTGCTATGTTTATACCAGTGAGAGTTATGGTGTTTTTATGTAGATCTGTTTTCAAGTAATGCAGACATCATAGGTGGAAAAATGTCATCTTGACTAACTGAAAGATCTATAAAATAAAACACATTTCAATACAAGCTTGGAAACCATGACTGCCAAATTCTTTATACAGTGTGTAATTACCCCCCCACCCCCCACCCCACCCCCACCCCCACCCCCACCCCCCAATCCAAAGCCCAAGTGAGGATCAGTGCAGCATACATTGAAAGGTGGTGGGGACCCACTATTGGATCATATACTCTGTCCTTGGGAATAACTATAACTGTGCAAGGCAATTGTGATAGAGACTACCCTATGAACAAGAAGAAATAACAGATGATCTGTCCTGAGTCAATTGATTTTGTTTTTGAGGTTACAACTTGAAGACGAAGAATCTTCATCAGGAGGCTATGAACTAGATTTGGCATTGGATTCTGGCATTACAAAGGGATGCAACTTTGCCCAGCTAATTGCAGCACCTTGCAGGACAAGACCATCTGTGCCCCTACCTCTGTAGTAGTCTCAATATCTGTCCTCCAGTAATGCAGACATCATAGGTGGAGAAATGTCATCTTGACCAACTAGTGAAACATTGTGATGGACGTCAAGTATATCAGTAACTTGATGAAGCCATGTTGAGACCAATTGGATTCATGGTGGATTTGGTTCATGGTCAGTCCTAGGAATAACATTCCACAAGTGTTCCCCATAAGCACAACAGTCCTATGAGGCAACTGTCTTGCTGATATATTCGTACTACTGGTGATCAAACACGTTTTTCATTCATTCTGGCCCCTCAAGCAACATAAGACATGACTGCTGTGAGGGTTTGTTGGAATGTGACTGCCATTAGCTGCTACCCAATGATGACTAACTTTGGATATCCTTCCATAGATTTATTTTGGCTAGGTCTAAGTTCATGAGAAAAATGTGATTCTGACAATTACATAAAAATATTAACGCTTCTGTCAACCCTGGAAAACCAGCTTTAAAAGAATCATGGAAGGGTCAGGTTAAGGTCATCTGAAGTGCAACCACCCCCATGGTGTTATAGATAGATCGCCTACTTGGAGAGTGGAAGGTTGGTGGTCGATCCCCTGGGTGCATCACACCAACAGTTCATTCATTCGTCATAACTTTGCATTTTCGACATTCTATGAAACTACGATGTCTATAAAAGTGATATTTTGCATGAATGGTCCTTGCTGTGGTGGCTCAAAAAACTGCCACAAAGTTAAATCCAATTTTAGACATGGATGCCATAGCAGCCATATTGAAAATGTCTCTTTTTTCCCATGACCAGAAATTCTGTATTTTGGCTTCAATCACACAAACTAAAATTTTCAGATTTTCAACAGATGTCCTCTTCACTGTCAATTACACACAACTAGTTGTCGCCAAGTAGTTTCATAACTACCCAAGCCATGACGTAATAATGGCAGCACCCTCACTTTTTTTTTCTGCACCTGGTATTAGATCACATTAACCTAAGATTATTTTAATAAGATTGCTATAATAACATATACATAAATAATATATTTAAAGTAAAAGTGCTGGAAGAGACTAAGCTCATGTGAGTACAGCTGGTGTTGGGTTTGTGAGGTCGCCATGCAGTCTCCCACCAACCCCGGATGTAAGAAGTGTGGTCCTTTTATGATCACGGGAGATCCTCATATAAACTGCACAAAGGGCAGAGGGAAGACATGCACCTTGGAGAAGAGATGTTGATCAATGCATCCATACATCTGAAGAGATCTCCAAGATATCAGAGGTCGTGACTAAGGCCAAGAGGAGAGAGGTGGCGAAGAAGAAAGTTGAAAAGATCACCACTGATAAATCACTGTCTACCCCAGCGCCTCCCTCTCCAGCAACCCCATCATCTCCTGCACTCACCATGAGTCTCCTACAACAGCTATTGAGAAAACAGCAGGAGATGGTGAAGGACATGCTAGAAGCTAAGCTGTCCGATATGGATGCTAAGATCGAGACGGTAGCTCTGGCAAAGACTACCAGATCTTCACCCACGGCCAGGGACCAGGCTACACAAGAGCTGCAAGCTGAGTCGTACGGCCAGGCCATTGGCAACGGCGTGGCTCCTGGTCGCCAACCCATGGACCAGTCACCAAGCCAGCTAGCACAGAGAACAATACCGTACGGGTGCTTCACAGTATCCATGGACAGGCTGTCAACGGCAACCAAGCCAGCCATACCAGCTATCCACCATATGGCCCCAGGGGCCTGCCTCCCACAGCATTCCAACCAACTGATAAGCCGTCCAACCAGTCAATCATGAAGAAACCATACAGACTCCGCATCGACTCCATGGGCCAGCCACCCACAGCTTCCCAGGCTACCAACCATGGCTTACCGTTTGATGGGACCCATGCCAGTCGCACAGACTCCATGGGCTTACCCAGCCAGCCAGCCAGCCAGCCGAGAGGACAGCCACAGCATGGCTACTGTTACGCATAGGTTACAAGCCTCACAGAGACATATCATACCAGAATCATGGTCACCGGAGGATGACGAGCCCTACGAAGCTGAGGGATATGATTATCCACCCCCAACAGAAGATTCCCAAGGCTATACAGAGCCGGAATCAGAGGGTTTGGAGGAGCTTGACAACTCACACCAATGAGTGATGGCTACACTATTGTGGAACTTTTCGAAGAGCTTTACCACCTTATGCATACACGTCAGCCACATTTGACAGAGGAGTCACCACCCCAGATGCTGGAATACGGCCGATGTCATGCGCCTGCTCCATCTCAGCATATTCATCATATGTTACCATGGCCCAGCTACAAAGGCAAGGTCGTAGACCAATCGATGGATAACATCCATAGACTCAAGCACTATGAATGTCTACCTCTTCCACCTATGAAACGGAAGTTATACAAGATGCATGATGCTACACTTCCGGAGTTCCAACACTTGGATGAGGATTTCTATAAATTAGTGCGCAATCCCGACATGAACGTTACTTTATCAGCATCATGTTTCAAGGATTTTAGCCAGACACTCCATGGATATTGGGGCATATATAAATTGTTTTGTCGCCGGAATCAGACCCATCATGCTGCCTCCACAACCAACCCAATGAAGGAACTGCGCCGGAAACACCCATGATTATTAGGACCGATCAAGTCGGACGAATACACAGCCTCCTTGACTCAGTCGTTAAGATGCAGGAAGATTTACTAGCATCCCAAGTCTGGACTTCCTCACAGTAACTGAGACTACAGCGACAACAGCTCCTATCTCATATTAGGTCAGGGGCCGTATCTAGCCAGACCAAGAAGTTTGTGATGTCGCAACCAATATCAGCGACCACAACTTTGAACGGCAAGCTCAGAAATGTGATAGATGAAGTCAAGAAGGATACAGCCGAGTGTTCCAGACTTTAACCATAGACCTTGCAGCGAGAGTGCATGAGTCATCACAGTCTCACAAACGACCCTGGGACCATAAGTCATCTGCGTCCAAACAGCCTCCTAAGAAGAACTTTGTCCCCTCTGGGAAGGATTCAATCCAACCGAGGCGGAGGTACGGCAAGCCACAATCTTCATAGGACTCTTTTTGCCACCAAGGGAATATAATTGCCGTGGCAGAGGGGAAAGAAAATTCTGACTTCCTTACAATCCCCTCCAACGTTATAGACCCTTTCGACCTGGTTACGTCTATGGATTGCAATTTACGCCTAAAGTTACGCCGACATGACGCCGACTTCGGGCCTAGTGGGAGGGGGCCTTCTGTCATAAATAGCACCTTGGCTATTCCCCAGAATTACAGCGCCAGTTCGCCCATCTCCAGCTAGTATCTGGATGACTTCTTAGCGGCAGAAAAAGGGAAAAATCACCTACAGCAGAACATGATATTCTTGGTCTAACTTATGACTTACCTAGGTTTCCTAGTCAACCCAGCCTAGTCAGAGATCACTCTGGTCCAAGACATCATATACATCGGAGCCAGATTCCAGCAAGACGGGATATCTATTTCCACCAGAGGATCGATTCGACAAGACTATAAAAATGATCCAATTAATCTCAAGTCAACCCAGCAAATCGCTGAGGTGGTGGATGTCTCTACTAAGCAACTTGACATCTCTACAGGATATGACCTTCAGAGGAAGGCTGAGGCTACATCCTCTACAGACATGGGTAAACTCTGTACGATCAAAGGGCCAAGAGTTCCAGTCTCAGTTACCTCCCACTTTGCTACAAGACCTCCATTGGTGGAAGCACAGAGAATGTGGCTTATCCAATGCCAGAACATCATCTATTCATAGACGTGTCGGATTCGGGATGAGTCGCTCATATGGACGATCTCACAGTTTAGGGATAGTAGAACACAGAGGTGAAAAACCTCCATATCAACTGCAAGGAATGGAGAACACAACTTCATCTATCAGCAGTTCTCATAGCCTCAGACAGCACTACAGTAGTGGCATATATTCAGAAGCCGGGAGGAACCAGATCCAACTCCCTGATGACGGAGACTACACGATTCTTTGCCTAGGCAGACTCCTTCAACTGAGGAATGGAAGCGAGACATATACCCAGGAAACTGAACGACAGCCTCTCATTGTCAGGGGAGAATAGTGGTAACACAATGGACATTATATCCACAGATCTTCATCTGGATAACCAAGATATGGGACATGCCACACATAGATCTATTCGCCTCCTGCCAGAACAACCAACTACCAGTTTATGTCAGTCCAGTTTCCTAACCAAAGGCTCACCAGATCAACGCTCTTTCGATGGATTGG